AGGAGGCGTGGGGTATCTCGAAATTTAGTCGACCTCCTCGACAGTGGGGCCGTCGTCGCCGCCGTGGCCGCCGCCAGGGGCACCACCAGCGCCGGGGAAGCCACCAGGAGCACCGCCGGGGACGCCACCCTCACCGCCACTGCCGTAGAACTTCATCATGATGGGGTTGGCAACAGCCTCAAGCTCCTTCTGCTTGTCCTCGTACTCCTCACGGGTAGCCTGCTGGCTCTCGTCGAGCCACTCGACGACCTTGTCAATCTCAGTCTTGAGGGTCTCCTTGTCGGCGGCCTCAATCTTCTCATCGACCTTGGGGTCGCTGAGGGTGTTGCGAAGAGAGTAAGCGTAGGACTCGAGGCCGTTCTTGGCACCGACACGGCGGCCCTCAGCCTCATCCTCCTCCTTGTACTTCTCGGCATCGGAAAGCATGCGCTCGATCTCCTCCTTGGAAAGACGTCCCTTGTCATTGGTGATGACAATCTTGTTGGACTTGCCAGTGCCCTTCTCGACGGCAGAGACGTTCATGATACCGTTGGCATCAAGATCGAAGGTAACCTCGATCTGGGGAACACCGCGAGGAGCGGGGGGGATACCAGTGAGCTCGAACTTGCCCATCAGGTTGTTGTCCTTGGTGCGTTGACGCTCACCCTCGTAGACCTGGATAAGGACACCGGGCTGGTTGTCGGAGAAGGTGGAGAAAACCTCGGACTTCTTGGTGGGAATGGTGGTGTTGCGGGGAATGAGCTTGGTCATCATACCACCAGCGGTCTCAATACCGAGAGAGAGGGGTGCGACGTCGAGCAGGAGGATCTCGTTGGTCGACTTGGAAGAAGTGTCACCAGACAGGATAGCAGCCTGGACGGCAGCACCGTAGGCAACAGCCTCATCGGGGTTGATGGACTTGTTGGGCTCCTTGCCGTTGAAGTAGTCGGTGATAAGCTTCTGGATACGGGGGATACGGGTGGAACCACCGACGAGAACGATCTCGTGGACCTGGCTCTTGTCGATCTTGGCGTCAGCGAGGACACGGTCAACGGGCTGGATGGTGGAGCGGAAGAGGTCCTGGCAGAGCTCTTCGAAACGAGCACGAGTGATGGAGGTGTAGAAATCGATACCCTCGAAGAGAGAGTCGATCTCAATGGAAGTCTGAGCGGAAGAAGAAAGGGTACGCTTGGCACGCTCGCAAGCAGTGCGAAGACGGCGCAGAGCACGAGAGTTGGTAGCTAAGTCTTTTTTATTCTTGCGTTTGAATTCGTTAACGAAGTGGTTAACCAGACGGTTGTCAAAGTCTTCGCCGCCCAAGTGTGTGTCACCAGCAGTAGACTTGACTTCGAAGATACCCTCCTCGATGGTGAGGAGAGAGACATCGAAGGTACCACCACCGAGATCGAAGATGAGGACGTTGCGCTCGCCCTCAATCTTCTTGTCGAGACCGTAGGCGATGGCAGCGGCGGTAGGCTCGTTGATGATACGGAGGACGTTGAGGCCAGCAATGAGACCGGCGTCCTTGGTAGCCTGACGCTGAGAGTCGTTGAAGTAGGCGGGGACGGTGACGACAGCGTTGTTGACGGTGCCACCGAGGTAGGCCTCGGCGGTCTCACGCATCTTGGTGAGGATCATCGAGGAGATTTCCTCGGGAGTGAACTGCTTGGACTCTCCCTTGAACTCGACCTCGACGACGGGCTTGCCACCCTTCTCAATGATCTTGAAGGGGAAGTGCTTCATGTCGGCCTGGACCTCAGCATCGGAGAACTTGCGGCCGATGAGACGCTTGGCGTCGAAGACTGTGTTGTGGGGGTTCATGGCGACTTGGTTCTTGGCGGCATCACCGATAAGACGCTCGGTGTCTGTGAAGGCGACGAAAGAGGGGGTGGTTCGGTTACCCTGGTCATTGGCAATGATATCGCATCTATCCTCGCGGAAGATGCCCACGCAAGAGTACGTGGTACCAAGGTCGATACCGACCGCTGGACCCATCGACATTTTCTAGATGGTGGGGGGGGGGACGGAAGAAAAGTATGAATTCCTTGCGTAAGGATGGGTTGTTTTGTCCTTTCTAGTGCAGAGAGCTGCAAGAGAAGCTTCACTGTAATAGAAAACCAACGAGAAAAGGAAAAGATGTATTCGTGGTGAGAGAGGAAAGAGTTTGATGTGAAGAGAGAGGAATCCGAGTTGGCCAGCTTTGGGTTGGAACAATAAATAAATGCAGGTGCGGGGATTCGATGCGGTTCTGCGCTCTTCTACTCAACGCAAAGGTCCCCACACCGGGCCTTGCAGGGGGGTTCGAGAAGTCGGTGGTAGGTGGGCGAAGGCGCTAGCAGGAGGTAGGCTCCCTGCGGACGGCGCCTGAAAGTGGGGGCTGCTGGTTTTGCGTCAGGATTATGGACGGCTACGGCTGTTCGTTGACTGTTGCTTTTGTTCTTTTCCTTTTGCGCGGAATTCTATTGGCTTCGCTGGCCAGCTCATTGTCTCCGAGCCCATCTGAGGATCACAGCAAGGATGGTAGATGGCGATGCGGTCGGATTCTACGGAGCTTCCACGGTAGTCACTGATGTCATTGGCATCTAGGAGCTTCCAGTCTGTGCTATCACCGCGGGGCAGATTACAGCCTTCCACCTTGGAGGTACCGCCCTGTTACTCCCTGCCGGGTCGGTGCCTAGGCAACCGCCGTACACTGCCCCCAACAGTCTCACTGGGAGCACCAACACCTAGACGGTACCGCGAGGTACCTACCCGCCTGCCCCACCAATCGAAAATCTAAACCTTGGAGGTACCCTCGGTGCCTCGTCTGATTGCCCCTCTTTCTTTTCTGCCTGCTTTGCCAGTTTTTTGTCACTGCCTCAGCCAAGCCATCACACCCGGCTGGCAGCAATTAGACAAAACCAGCCTCATTACGGAAGTGCACGTCGGACAATGCTAAAACATCCCCAATTACCGACCATTTATGAGAAATTGTATTTGGAACCGACGCTACTAGACCTGTGTAAGGCTGTTCATCCACCGAAGAAAGCCTCTGCCACAGCCGGGTCAGTGTGTCTCACCTCGACAATCCCTGGACAAAGGTGTTGTGGAAAGCGGCCAATAGATAGAGAAAGGGCGGTAATGTTGTATCTGCACTTTCCTATTGCACCACCAGGTCAACAGGCTCATCAGGCTAGCGATGGGTGGTGTGGCAACGGGCAGCACAGTTGACGCCAACTTCGGAACCAGACAGAACCAACTGGTTAGTGGTGGCATTTTACTCAGTCCTTTGTGTTCAACGTCGACCATTTGTGAATGCTTCGTCATGCACGACCAATTGGTGCTAGCTGATGGCCTGCCCGCTCGTCTCGAACTCCAAGGTCTATGAACAACTGTCTCTGTGCAGATAAGCCTACCCAAGATGTGCAATGGAATCGTATGAAACAAGACCTTGGTAACTGCTGTGTCAGCTTTTAGCAAACCTGGAGGAAGCCCAACTCATTGGTGGGGGCCTCTTGGTGGGTGACACCCAGCGCAAATGTTAGAACCTCTCCCCAAGGACGGGTTTATACCAATACTAGGAGTCGTATTATAATATCACGGTTCTATAATAGTCCCAGGGTATTGGGATTCTATCGTATCGCTGCTACCGGTTCGTTGAGCACACCCTCTTCAACATTCACAACTACGAGATTCTCTTACCATCCAGATCGGTGCCACCTCAGCCGTAACAGTATCTGCAGGCGACCAACCATCTAATAGGCGAAAATTAAGCGATGATTGATCAATGACGACATAGCATTGATGCGTGCCCGGTTCAAAACGCACTTCCGGAAATATGCACTTCCTGCATGTGCTCCCTATCACCACCTCACCGTAGGTATGCATTTGTTCACCCCACTGAGGCTCAAACGCTCCCGGTCTTGTCCACTGCATCCATGCGCCGTATGTGGCCAAACTGCCTATTTGTAGCAAACGTACATGGTATTTTTCTCCTCGTCTCCCTGATAGCCTGTTCAAGTAAACCAATATCCTGATTTCGATTCATAGAGGTGCCTGGCTCAAGTCAGTCTCTAATGCCATCAAAGCAGCCAAGAAACATACCCAATTAGGCAAGTTCGAAACACAGCGATTTTTCCCTCCCCAGACGGGTTGTCTGGCAGGCCACGACCTGCAGTACACAGGTCCCGTCGCAGGCTGACATGACATTTCTGCGCCTCACCACCGCCTCGGCTACTCTGAACCAAGCGATTATAGGTCCTAGGACTCATGAATTTTTCGTCGTGAATACACAATACAGCGTCACATTGGTTTATTGTTCGTCTTATTTGGATGGTAATTGTCTCCAGTCGAATGGCCATTGAACTGTTCACGACTGATGGTATTGTTGCTCTACGCTACTTCACACTTCATACTTCTATCGTTACTCTCCATTTCCTGTAACTCCGCGGTAGCTCTTAATGCTGCAGATCCTAGTGTCGCCTCTATTCTAGGTTCTCTGTAAAATTCTCAACGAGATTTTGGCTCCATTCTATGGGGACCAAATTGGAAGATCGATGAAGATCCCCCCGATTTTGGAATGGGGCCAAGCTTCTCGATAGTTCCAAACCAGTAAATGACGTTCTTCAGCATGTCTCTACCAATGAAGATTTTTTTTAAAAAGAAAAAAATTCCATATGGAAGCATAAAAAGTCTCCACATCTAGACCAAGAGGTTCTAACAAGTTCGGGTGCAGTCATCATGAGTAGCTCAACTGAACATCTCTACAACCGACGTCTTGATTTATGAAAATATTGAACAAGAGATATAGATACAGGAGTAGCCTACATGCAAAAAGTGACAAAATCAACGCTTTATATGCGATTTATTCTTACTCATGAATCGTTTGATTCTCGATCAATATTCAGTTAATCGTAACTTCTTGCCAACATCTCGTCTCCTTGCCTGCACGGCAGCCCGCTCTGCTGCTGCCTTTGCCTCAGCGTGCTGATGGCCCCGTGCCTTGAGAGCCTGTAAAAGCATCCCAGCGTCAAAGAATCCATCTAGTGTGCTGTTAGTATACATTCCTGCCTATACAAAGAGATGGTAAATTGCGGGCACTTACATCCACCTAGCTCGTCATCTTCTTCGCTCAATGCGATGCTCTCCTCGGTCGGGGAAGTGGCACCACCGGTGCTTCCAAAGCCCCTCAAAGGCCTGAGGCCATCGTGGGATGTGATCAATCTTCCTCGCGACTTGAGTCGGCTGACTGGCTTTGGCTTCACGTCTTCAACTTCGCGAGCACGGCTCGCTTTGCCCGTTGATAACTTGCGGTTGGTTATTCTCAAGATGCGACGAATCTCGAGCAAGTAGCTCTCCAAAGTATCGAGGAAGCGGCGTGTTTGGCGGTGCTTACTTGACACGCAGATAGAAAAGCTATCATCCTTGATGATATAGCCTATTCCAAGGCCGTCGCCAGAAGTGGGACCAAATCCAAAATGACGAAGTGATGGGTTGCCGCAGTTGGAAGTAGACAGGATAGTTGTGTTGAGACGATCCCAGCCAGCATCGGTAAAAATAGCTGGAAGTGGTTGGGCATCTCTGAGCCTTGAGGCGGTACTGTCCCCTCGGTCCCTTGTAGGCTTCACCTCCACCCCTTCTGCCGAGTGTGTTGAGTTCCGGTCGGGGCTGCCAACTGGCGAGAAGGAGCCTTGTTCGGAATATCCATCAGTGGGGCTCGAATAGCCGTTGGTGCTGGCGTCGTCGCTATCTTCGTTGTTGACATACTTTTGCCAAACACAAAAGAGCGCATACAAGTGGCGATCGCATCCTTCGGCCTTGGCGCATTCTCTTGTCATAGAGACGTGCTTCTGGCAAGCTCGTTTCAGGGCCTCAACCTTCTGCTCAGCAGGGTTGTCGCCCCAGAATGTCTGTACAAAGTCTACTGATTCTTCCGAGACAGAGCGGATAGCTTCCGTCCGCCCGTGTAAAAACACTTTAGTCATCGCAGGTTCATAAGTGCACTCTACCCTACCGTAGAGTCCATAGTACGCCGCCTGGAAGGCCATCTGCACAAACGCATCAGGAGAAAATCCCATCGACGTGATGAAGTTCTTGCCATATGCAGCAAAGTCAAGACACTGGAACTCGTTCTGGCCAATGAGATCTGCCAGTCTTGTCTCAGCGAACCGGACTGCGATGCTAAGCTCGGGAATCAAATCCCACTCCAGTTTCCTCGGGGTGGTGTTCACAACTCCGAAGCTATCGGGGTGTCGCTTGGAAGGATCCGGGCTGGTTGACAGCCACAAGCTGGGCGCCTGGTTGTTGATGGAGCGAGCAAATCGGAGAATGGTGTCTGTGTACACGTCGGTTGCAAATCTCAAGACGGTGTGGCCGTCGACACCAGTGTGCTCAAAATTGATACCCGCACTACCGTTCTTGCAGACAATGATTTGGAGTTTGTCATACCAACGGTTCGTGCAAGTCCCTATCTGCACACCCTTCTCAACTAGACTGCTTCCGCAGAGCATGTTCTGGCAAAGGTCGGCAACACTTGAAGGTTCCGTGTAGTCGAGACAAAGAATGAAGAGAGCTGAGTCGACGATGTTCAACGAGTCAGAATTGTTTGATCCAGGCTCCTGGTGGAGGACATCTCGAAGGCCAGACCAAACTTTTCGGTTTTCGGTGCTGAGAACGCCAAGGGCCCCTTTTGCTGCTTCCTGGATGGGAATTTGGATAGCATCGTCGATGATGGTTTGCAGGTTGATGGTTATGTCCTTCTCCGTCATGATCGAGTCCGAGTTGTCGTCCAAAACATCAAACCAGTAGAATTGACCATGACACATAACCACAATATGCTTGGAGTCAGGATCCTGCTCGATCTGACAGCCTGCTTCCGTAGGCACCCGGGCGGTGCCAAACAGTCGCGAAAACTGGTACATGCATAATGGCGTTCCCTTGATATTATCTGGTTGAAGTTCCTCCTTTCTAACGGCGCGAACAAACTCGAGAGCAGAGACCACCAGCGAGGCGGCTCTGGTAACCTGGTTATTACGTGCTGGGGTCGGGTCATCTTCCAGTAGAAAGAAGGGGTTCAAGTTGAGCACAACGGGATTGTCAAAATTGAGATATGAGTCGTACCCTATTCATGAAATTAGTCTGGAACGATCCCGTATGGCGCCAGACGGGAAAAAAAAACTTACAGAATTGCTCAATGTAGCTGCTTTTACCCTGGGCATAGTTCCTCAACTTCTCTTGCAGCTCAGGACCATCAGTTCGGAGGAATTCTTCCACGGCTTGTCGTGAATCGGAATGCTCTCGTGGTGATTGTAGTGGTTTCAAGGCTCTCAGGTACCTCTTGAGGGAACTCTCCAATTCCGGGATAGGAAGCTTGGGCAACTTGTCTTGGGCGGCAAATGTGATGCCGCCATCCTGTTTGCTGTTTGCTGTTGCCATAGGAAACTTCTTGTAGCTCGACTGCTGCCGGAACGTATCCCTTGGATTGAAGAAATCGGTCTGTCTTGGAACAGTTCTCGGGGTGTTGTTGATCAAGACTGGCGTCTCTGCAAGCCTCTCACCAAGAGGTTGGGGGAGGCAAAATGTTCGGACTTGAGTGGTCATGTTGTTAGTTTCTCGGATAGTTTGAATTCTTTATGCGTGGAGAGGCGAGACAGTGGTGCAGATGTTGAGGCCGCGGAGAGCGGTACGGTAGAAGTAGTGACAGTCCTGAAGATAATATGCAGGCATCACACCAAGGATATTATGGCATCAGTTGGGGGGTTGATGGGGAGTGAAGTGATCCATACACTACAGGGATGACCGAAAGACAGCGTGAAACAATGAGGCAGACAGTAGAGAGGGTGAAAGCAGGAGGAGGTGATATAGGTATATGAACGATGGGAGGGAGGTGTTGTTGGTATGGCCGATCCTGTCTGGTGGAACCGCTATCACGCTCACAGTAACACCCTCAACCGAAACGATCCCATTGCCCCGGGAATTACGAACCCGGGGATGGTCAACGGCCCCTATACCATGCCCGCATGTAGCTTGTCAGAGGCCGGCTGAAGATCTCGCATAAGCCACCGAGGTCGCTGATTCATTGGCACGTGGGGCGGCAGAGACATGGGAAGGACGGGTAGAGAGGGAGTGTGTGTATGATGTTGGTCCTCCGCAGGACCGACAGAGGTCTGGCATTTAGCTGGAAACACAAGCTAAAGTATACCTACCTCCACGGGGGACCCAACAAGGATTGCTGGCTTGGGACACCTAGGAACAAAGCCAAGACTGGGGTAGCAACGTAATGCAGGGAGGGTGAAGATAGCAGAGAAGAGCTCATCAATGCAAGTGGTGGGCAAGAGGATCGGAGAATCGAACGAAATGACGGGCAGTGGTTCCTCTTACCGGCCAGGTGATGGACATGGGAGTCTGTCCCAAGGGACCAAATATTTTCTGATTCCCAAGGTCGAAATGAGAGGCGTCAGTCGCCAGCTGAGACAAGAGCACCCAAGACTCTATACTAGGCAGCGAGCATCCTTCAGCTATCGGTGGCTATACAGAGCATCGGTTAGGGTATGATACCGTCAGGCGACTGGCGCTGGGCGAATTAGACAGGCTCACATGTGAATAAAGGTTGGGGGCAAAGGCCCTCGCTGGATCGGTCACGGACGCCACCTGCGGATGAAGCCTGTGACTGAGACTGTGACCCTCCACCTCCCCGCCGAATCATTAGAGGGCTAAAAGTGCTAAGTGGAACAAGTCGCTTCGGACGACAGGATGTTGTTGGAGGCAAGACGTGATGAGATCTCGACGGGACCAGCTCCAGTTTATTTCTCCAACGGCCACCCAGTCTTGCCGTATTATCAAGCAGGCCGAAGGAATATGTGGTGGACGGAGGTACTAGTGCACATGGTGCAGTGGTCGGTAATCGGGCTACTAATGCACTCAAATACAGTTGACGGATGGATGCAGGAAGCAGCCCCCATCCAGGCAGAAGGTAGTGTGGGGAACGTTGCCTGCAGCCAGCACGGGACTACCGGAGTGCTCTTCTTTGCGCTGCAAGGCTTATCTCTTATCTGAGTGCTGTACCTGCTCATAACTGAGCCTACCTACCTACTATGAGATATGAGTAAATGCTGCTCGACAACTAATCAGTTCGAGGTCTGGTCAGCAAGGCTGCGCAGCGGCATGTGGCTATCTACCTAGGCTCTGCTGTGCCTTCGGCAGACATCAATATCAATCATTTGGGGGCAGGACAACACCCCACGCATGTGAGGTCATACGGTCGCGGGGCCAGACCTCGCCAGATATCCAGAAGCAAGAAGCGGATGCACTTACGAGCGATAATGACAACCATGATCGCGAAACAGGCCATTCTCTTACCTTTGTATAATTTAAATGCCACTGAAACGTAGACCCATTATCGGAGAAGGGGAAGCTGTCAGCAAGAGCAGCCAAGTCGCCGACAGATGCCATACCTCGGTCCAATGGAGCCCAAACTGATGTGTTACAGTGTTACAGTGTGAGTGAGTTGGCACCTGGATGGCCTGAGCTTGTTCTGGCTATTCTTGGCTTCAATAATTGGGCACCATCAGGAGCCTTCACCAGTACAGGGCTCGGGTGTCCTATTTTTGTGTATTTCTGTTGCAGGCTGATAGCGATAAGGCTCACCAGCACAGCCGATGATGCTCAGATCCATGTCTCCGTGCCGACTCCGGACCCGATCCGTGGCCCGAATGATGCCCTCGGTCACATAGATAACCAGACAGCCCCCGCGTGGCAGAAATATTAAGTTCACAAAAGACTCGGCCTCACGGGATTCGGGATGTTTGACATGGCTCATGTTCAGCTACTGTTGAATTCAAGCGTCGATTTTTATCCTCGGCCAGGCATCACAACCAGTCCACTCATTCCTCTTCAAGCAGTCCAAGCAGCCAGGAATCCAGGACTATCCGTCTCCATCGAAGTCATCTCATGGAATTATTATGATAAACAAAGACAATTCTCCATCTTTTCGCCTCTCAAATCCTTCTTCCTAATGTTACCGACTTACCCTACATCTCCAGTGCAAGTTTTCCTATTTAGGCAATCGATTCGAACAAATGCCAATCCTTCCACTCTGGGAAATCCATTCGAGGTACAACATAGCCATCAAACCTCCAAGCCTCAAGGTCGGCGTCCGCCTTCGCCAAGACGTAGAATATCCTCATCGATTGGCTCTTCAACCCATTTTTGGAAGTCCATTCGAGCAATTCCAGTTTGAAAATATTCAATTGATGCCTGCCCAGGATGATCAACTCCACAGTCTTATGTATACTGATATTCTCATACGAAGAGGCATAGCCTCATCAGCTTGGTCAAGCGAATATTTAGGCTGCTCCGTTCCTCGAGTTTCGTTGTCAATAGATTCTTCCTCTGTATAATATCTCCCGTTCTCTAATTTCAAACCGTTAATTCCAGACAATTGTTCTATTCTTTTGCTACACATTGAAGTCTACCTGCTGTTTGGATACTCCAAAAGCTTTTAGCGATGTTGATATCTTACATCATCTCGCTGTTCAGATCCGATTCTCGCTCGCCCAGTAAGTGTGAGCATCAAGTTGGGGAATCGGCAGAGCCATGCCCACAATGCCATGCCGCAAGCCAATATCAAAAGTATCGATGGAAGATCATCCTAGGCCTGGTGTTTCCGTTCGCTTTGCAGGCTCTGGACTCAACAATGTAAAGACACACTATTCGATCCATCCCCCAGAGTCAAAACCTGACGAACTAACTTTTTCGGCCTTCTAGAATCGCCAGCGCTTTGCCATGGATTGCAAGTGATTTCGGAGAGGTCTCGCAGTTGAACTGGATCGTATCATGCTTCAATCTAACATCTGCGGCCTTCATCCCGTTTTGGGCGCAAATGGCGGATATCCTAGGGCGGAACGTGACCCTCAATGCCTCAATCATCCTGATGCTCATCGGCAGCGCGCTATGCACTGGTGCACCGACCCATGCATTCCCCGTCTTGCTGCTCGGCCGAGCATTCCAAGGGCTGGCCGCGGCCGGGTTAAACGTGGTTGTTCACACGATTCTGGCAGATCGGGTGTCGTTGCAGGAAAATGCCAGAAATTGGACGCTCTTTTCATTCATCGGCGGCATTTCATATGCTCTAGGACCTGTTATTGGAGGTAACTAGCCTTAAGGTGAACTGCCATGCAACCACTTCGGAAAAGCTGACCTGTTTATTAGGGTACCTCACAAACGCCAATTGGAGGTGGTGCTTTGCCATTAATTTGCCAGTGGCGTTTGCTGCCATCATCATCACCTTCGTGGTGTTGCGAAAAGAACTTCTAGGCCCCCAACCTATCCCCGAGCTTGACGAAACAACTGAGACTGGCCGACGGACCCAACTGGCTGCCCGGCTCAAAACCGTGGATGTTGGAGGCCAAGTCCTCTTCCTGGTTGGGTTTGGACTGATTATCCTCGCCTTGACCTGGGGCGGGGCTACATACCCCTGGCACTCAGCTGCCATCATTGTTTCCTTGGTGTTCGGTTTCATTTTCATAGGAGCCTTCGTTTGTTGGGAAAGATTGATGGTACCGGGGAGTTTTCTCGCAGAAAAACTACCGCGGCAGAGGCCGATGATTCCTTGGGATATCTTGTCCCACCGAGATATTGGGCTGCTCTTCTACTCCGAGATCACCTCCGGGATGGCTATGCATGCAGTGAGTGTCCCTTCCGTCTCTTGTCTTGGAAACAGCTCTAATTCGAGCACAGGTTCTATACTACTGTAACATCTATTTCATCGCCGTGAAGGATTACACTGCAGACAAGGCGGGGGTGCAACTTCTATACTTCACGCCAGGAATTGCTGGTAAGTCTCCCATCTTCAACGGAAAAGGAGCAACACTCTGACCAAGCCGCAGTCGGAATTCTTCTGTGCTCCATGATCTGCTCTTCATGGCCGAGAATGACCTGGCCTGCAATTTTCCTCGGGACCCTTGTGGAAGCTGTGGGCATCGGTATGATGGCCTATGCTTTGTACACCGAGTCCTCGCCAACCATTTTTGGCATGATGGCACTTGTCGGTGCAGGAGGAGGGCTGCGGATGATGGCCTCTCCATTACACGGCGTCGGTATTTTCAGACAGAGCAGAGCAGCGGTTATTGGCCTGTTGACATTTGCCACTCCATTGGGGGGGACCATTGGCTTGACAATTATGTCGACTGTTTTCAACAACGTCTCCAATTTGGAGACCAGCGGCGACTTCTCAGCTATCCGGAATATGGACCCGATCGCCCAGCAAGCAGCTAAGCATTCAGCCAAGGTATGATTGCACTACATCGAACCCTAGAAGGCTGTTTGACTAACTGAGAACGTCTAGATGGGCGTGGTATGGGCGTTTGTTGCTCTCACACCATTGATGGTCCTTGTAAGCTTATGCCCTTTTTGAGATAGCAAGATAATTACTAACGGCGTGTGTTTCAGGCCTTCCTCTGCTCCCTCCTTCTCGGAAATGTCACAGTTGCCGGAAAGAGTAACCCCGGGGCGGACGAGGACCAGCACATCGTGATGGAGGAAATATTTCTCATCTCACTCCTCCGTGGGCGGTTAAATCGAAACTCTTACGATAGAGCCGTAAGACTGCACAGCTCCGATCGAGGGGCCGACGTCGAACAAATCCCAATGACCCTTAGGAAATAAACACGAGGCGGACTAGACCATTATTGTTTACATATACCCAGTACATTGCTTTCATTCAACGGAGCATTCTTTTGTAGAGAGCGGGACTTTGACATTGAAAGGCATAGAATTAGTATTTCACTTCAAGAATCACAGATAGAACTCAGAGAAGCATGCATACAGCAAACTAATTTTCTATCCCAGCTTATTTCACTTTGGTTCTCAAGAAAGAGTCTACTGACCTATTCGTCTAGCGTCCGTTACGAATTTTTCGAGCTTTGCTGAGGATGCTTACCCGCCATATATTCATATACGCAAATTTTAGACTCGCGGAAGCATGGCTCACTGTGTTTGGGAAGTCAAGGTACTGGCTTCCTCCAGTCCAACAGGGCGAGTTTCATGCAACAGGACATCGACAAATGACCAAAAGCAACCCGCAGAGTCCAGTGCTTACTTACATGAGACAACATTCGTAGCCTTCCAAGTTGGCAAGTAGAAGGGGGCCATTGAGTGACAGCATAATATTCTCTTTAATACACTCTATTCTACCACTAATTTGGTGTCGTGTTATTCTCTTTAGCAATTAGACAACAAGTCTATTCGGAAGCTGTACTGAGCGTGAAATTAAGCATCCATGCAAATAAAAGATCGAGTTCGTGGAGGGGATATATACATAGAGCCACGCTCTATGGGTGTGTATTAGAAATCGTAACAGAAAACACGCAGAACCTCAAAATCGACAAAATCCCTCCCAACGCCGAAATAGCATGTGCTTTCCTACAATCCGTTCGGTCCATACCAGTCATGACCTCCGCCATCCAGGTGGTTCTTAAGATGACCCCAAGCCCAAATAAGTAATTGGTTGTTCCATACTTTTAAGCCAATTCATGCATAGGTCCACGGTGTGCCTGAGCTGGATTCGCAGGCGCTTCGTGAATGGTAGTAGGAGGCTGGGCATAGCCGGGGTGTTGGATGTTGGACGGGCTAGGGCTGGTTCCTGAAACGGCGGAGCGAGGGTCGCCAGGCGACAGGGTTGGAGAAGTTGACGATGGTGGCTGTCCGTAACCTGGGTAGTAGCCGCCCCCATTTTGAGGGTACTGGCCTGTTGCATTGTAAGGGGGCTGGCCACCGCTGGCGACAAACTTGGGGTCGTAGAAGCCGGAGTTGGGGTTATAAGGTTGGCCTTGAGGGGGAACCTGCGAGACGGGTGGGTAGGCGCCGTTGCCATTGCTCGAGGGAGGGGGATGTTGAGGAGGAACGCCGTAGGCTCCAGCTGGGGCAGCGGCAGCGGCGGCAGGCTGCTGGGCGCCGGCCTTCTTCTTGCGGAGGACGAGCCAGACGATGATTCCAATTATTCCAATGGCAGCTACACCACCCACGACACCACCAACAATGGCTCCGATGGGAGGTCCACTATCCTTCTTGCTGCTGCTGCCGCTGTCGCTGTTGTCACTCGTCGAAGAGCTGGAAGCTGATGAAGAAGTCGAGGTCGAGGTCGAGGTTGAGGACGATGAGGACGAAGACGAAGACGACGAGGATGACGAGCTTGAACTTTCTTCGAAAAGGACTGTCGTTTGGTAGACCCTATTTGGGCCACCAGAGTAGGTTGTGAATGCTGCCTGGGCAGTCGCAATTGCTACGTTATTGCACCAGTAATCAACGATATCACCGGAGAACGAGATGGTGTTGCAGTAAGGCGTGGCCGAATTGAGACTAAACGAAAGAAGATCAGTATCTATATCTTGCGCCGAGTGAGGGATTCGAAACTGGGAGAAGCCATCACATACCATTTCACGGTAAACGCATCAACCCTGCAAGCATCGTCGCAAGCACTGGAAGAGTAGTAGGCCGCATAGTCAACACATCCCCTGCGAACGGTACAGGCCTTCGTGTTGCAGCAACCAACATTACCAGTTGACTGTCCAACACCAGGAATAAGAGCGCAAGAGTAGTCAGTCCCGATACAGGTGTAGTGAGCACCCTGGAGAGCGGAGACGAAACCACAGGTGTTGTCGGAAGCAACGATGGCAGACAGGCCATCATCCCGCGCAAAATTGAAGACCTCACCGGCGAGCGGAGCGGCGGTTGGCTTGGGAGAAAACCCGTCGCGTACTGGCAAATCCAGAGCTCCTGTAGGCTCGGGGAGTCGCTCGATCAGACTGGCGCCGATGGGGGCAACCATCGCCGCCAGGACGGCGGCGAGCCCAGAGGTCCTCATCATCGTGACGGCTAGATGTATGAGTCGTCAAACAGCCCGAGGGTATGGTCTTAGGTGACAATGATCGTGACCGGAAGCTAAACGACACAAACAGAGTACACCAGAAGAGGCAACCAAAGCACTTCAGATGAACGAACGAAAGGTGCCGGCACCGACTAGATGAAAAGGCAGCGCATCAACCGCCAGGCAGGCGGCATGCCGCAGGACCCAGAGCCAGCCCCGGGTAGTCGGCCTCATGGCTCGTGGTGACAAGCGACCTAGCGCAACCACAGGGGATCGTGGGACTTGCCGCCTGCAGTCAGCACCAGCTAGTCTGTGTCCAGGTCGAAATAGACGATGGCGTCGAAGCAGATTGGCTGGATTGGCCTAGCAGGGGTGAGAGGGGGTGAGGGACGTGGTGCAGAAGACGTGGGGATCCATCCATCCTTTCGGTCCCCATTGTTTCGACTCCAAAGCTGAAAAGGAAAATCATACACAGGTGCTCCTCTGGCGAGTCTGGACTCAGCTGAACTGGACCGGGTCTCCTTGTGCTCCCGGTGGAGGGGTGGTGAGGGAGCTAGTTACATTTTGCTCACCCACCCAATACTTTCGGCCCTCGACACTCACCCATTGTCCATCTCGTGCTCGACTTGATTGCAATCGTACTGTTCGGATGGTGGCAGGGGGATATAGTGTTGTGGTGATCTGGGAACCAGCACAGTCTAGCGCCCAGACTACGCGCCTGGAGGCAAAGATCCCCATTGGGCATAAGGGTCTGGTTGGGTTCAGTGGACCTAGAGGAAATTGCAGCGGGCTGGCTAGGGTTATTGCAGCCTAAGAAGCTGGAATCAGCGAGAGCCAAGGGCTGTCCCGTCTGTCCTCATGGCGGCTGCCTCCCTGTAGGCTCTATGTTCTCTATGTATGCTCTCCAAGAGGTGCTGGAGGTCGGTCAGACAGAGTCTAGCTCAGACAGGTAGGTAGGTTGGGGAGAGTGGCGATCTATTCCCTTGACGCCCTCCTGCCATTGTTCAACACTCCATGGTTCATGGTTCATGGTTGATCAGCAGTCAGAAAATAAATCCAAAACGGCGGCCGACCACATGAAGAAGAGACGACGGGGGACGAGTCGAAACCGTCTGGGGTTTCGGCGCTTGAGTCTATCAGGACAGGGATCAGTCGCAGCTACCGAAATACGAAATATGGGACCCACGGCTCCGAAAACGCCTTGCGCGTGGACTCTATTGGTGTGCCACGCCTTATCGATATTCCCTGTCAGCCCTGTTGGATCGGTCAACGAAACTAAATACGACGCTCAGTACAAAGCAAAAGGCGAACCATTCGCAAACATCCAGACACCTCTGACACCTTTGCTGTTTCCGCTGGGGGTAGCTGCGTAATATCTCTCACGGCGTCTGCACCCAGGTTGCAAACGGGTCGGCTTGCTACATCGAAATAAAATAAACACAATGCGCTGCCCCTGGCTTTCCTCCGGCAGACAGCTGGACCAATGATCGCACACCTCCGGATGATTACTAATGTAGCTGAAATCCAACATCCTAAAAATAGAATTGCTGTTTGTACAGTGTGTAACGACAGTGTCTGAGTGCGACTTGACCTGGGCTGTCCCAACCGAAGTCACCACGCAACCCACAGGCATGTATAGTTGCTCTGTTCAGTCCTACACTAAAAATCTCATGAAAGTCTCCAGACAAACTAGAGTATTGCTTTGCCTACCTATAGTCAGTTGCTACGATCCAAAATATACATTCACATAATGCTTCCACATACTGTCTCGGCTCATTATTGACACTGTGCAGCGGCATCACGCTCCCTCGCCTAGAGTCGTGACTGGCAACAGCTTCACTAAGTTGATCAACCCATCTCCAGCCAGACCATCATGCGGATTGGCCAAATCTGAGATGTTCCACGTAAACCGCTTATCCATATCATCCAGACTCATCTATTTTCCGTCCCTCCCACGCCACACGTCAACCTCGAGATGAGATTTGCCTCACCCCGGCTTCCTCTACCACTCGCTCCAGAGACCTCGATAGTGCATTCCCAAGATCATAAAGTATCAGCCGTGTCTGAAAACTCCAAGTATCTCTTGATGACATGAGTGATATTCGCCAAGTTCTGCCTACTTTTCCCGTCTCCAAATATGCGTCTCTTCTTCCAGCAATCGAGCAACATGGTCTCACAACAACCGACCTCCTGACTCTGCACCCAACAGATATAGCAAAGCAGACTCACCTGCCTCTTGTGGATCTGAGGCGCTTCATTGCCATCATACAAATCTCTCTCACAAATGACCTAAAGCCCCAGTCGTTGTCATTATCGCCAGAAAAAGAGGATTCACTTGTGGAATCAACAGAGGAAGCACCAGAGACGTCCAAAGCTCAACCTCTGCTTACTACCACCAACGCCCCGTGGTCGGCTTGTATCAGCACTCTCGATGATACCATAGATGCTGCCCTGGGAGGTGGAATCCCTACCGGCAGGATCTCCGAGTTCGTGGGGGAGAGCGGTGCTGGAAAGACTCAGTTTCTTCTGAGTCTTTGTCTAGCCGTCCAGTTGCCCTCCCCTCGAGGCATTGAGAAACAGGCTCTCTATATCTCAACCGAGTCCGGTCTTTCCACCGCCCGTCTCTCCCAGATGTTGAAGAATCACCCCGTCCTGCAAGATGTTGATTTCGCCGACAAGCCTTCACTGGACAACATCCTCAGCACCTCTCTCCCGGACCTCGAGTCCCAGGACCACATCCTGCATTACCAACTACCCGTCCTCCTGGAGCGCCACAACATCGGCCTAATCATCCTCGACTCCGTGGCCGCCAACTACCGTGCCGAGTTCGAGCGCCAGGGCACAATGGGCCATAACATGGCCGCCCGCAGCTCGGACCTCGTCAAGCTAGGCGCCCTCTTCCGCCACCTCGCCCGCAAGCACAACCTCGCCGTCGTCGTCGCCAACCAGGTCTCCGACCGGTTCGCCCCGGCCCCGCCCATCTCGAGCCCGGCCCGCCTGCCCTCCTCGTGGCCCAGCCAGCCAACCCAGGAGACGCCGCTCGCTTCCAGGAGCAGCCTCCGTGGCCAGGCCCTCCCCCACTTCACTCCCAGCTCCCCGCTCCCCTTCTCGATGCCCCCCGACGACGACGGCGAGCCGCCCCCTCCCCCAGCCCTCATGCTGGACCACCAGCAGAGGTGGTTCACCGGCTGGGGCGACGACCCCATGTCCTCCCACGCCCTCAAGACCCCCAGCCTCGGCATCGTGTGGTGCACCCAGATCGCCTGCCGGGTCGCCCTCTTCAAACGCCCCGTCTACGGACGCACCAGGATGGCACCCCCCATCTCAACCGCGCCGGGAGATGATTACGATGAGGTCGAGGAGCATACATCGACTCTGAGGACGTGGAGGCGGTGGATGAAGGTTGTGTTCGCCCCTCATGCACCGGCTTCTGGGCTGGGGCTCCAGGACGCCATCGAGTTCGAGATCTCGGCGGGCGGGTTAAAGGCATTACCGCCCAGGAAAAAGAAAACAAGATCGTGAATCCCGGTCTATGGTATAGGAATTTTTACCTAGATGTGTATATTACTACCTTCTTTTCATCATGGGTTTGTAACGAGGTTCGCAGAAGTTCACCAAGCGATGGCGCAGAGTTTGGTTTCAATATATCATCAATTCATCGGTGTCTCATTTTGTTTTACAGTTCCAGTTGTATTATGATGTACACCTTCTCTATTTACTTTATATATTTCGTTTAAACTTGTTTTGGATGCGGGAATTCATCCTCGAGTTGCAGACGCACACCCACATTCATGCTGATCAGTTCTTGCACCAACAGCTTAGCTGCATAAGGCATCGTCATCTTGGCCACTTCTCTCGTGCTCTTACACGTGTGGCAATAGCCCTTGTACCCAAACAGGCCACACTGCTGGCAGATGTCAATCTCCGTCCCGTCGGAACTAATCATCAGTCGCTCCAGAAGCAGCTGAGAGGCTCCGTATGCAATCAAACAATCACGTTCCATTTCTCCGAGACGCAAACCACCATCTCTTGAACGACCCTCGGTGGGCTGTCTGGTGAGGATCGCCATGGGGCCGTGGGCTCGCGAATGCATCTTATCTTGAACCATGTGTTTCAATCGCTGGTAGTAGATTGGCCCGTTGAAGATGTATGCCTCCAAGGGTTCTCCGGTGATGCCCGACGTGAAGTAGTCCTTGCCTTCCCAGGAGAAGCCATGATCCACCAGCACTTGACTCATTTCCTCCAAAGGATGTGAGCGGAACGCGTCTCCGAAACCGTAGTCAGGCCGGCCGTGGACGATAGACGCCTTGCCTGTGAGGCACTCGAGCAGCTTGCCGACTGTCATTCGAGAGGGAAAACCATGGGGGTTCATGATGATGTCAGGCGTGACCCCACTATCAGCGAACGGCATGTCCTCCTGGTCGACGATGATACCAACAACACCCTTCTGACCGTGACGGGAAGAAAATTTATCACCTAATTCGGGTCGTCGAGTTTGCCTAGTCTGGACTTTAATCACCATTGAATCCTTCTCAGTCCGAGACAACATGACTTTGTCAATGTAGGCTGGGTCCGGGATTCGGTAGGAAATTGAAGCGTCGCGGAACATGTTAGACCCGCGATCAAGGCCAATGCCCGTCGAAGTCTGATCTTCCGGGGTCTCCTTCTTCACCATGGCCTCTCCAGACTTGACCTGATAGCCGACCGTCGCCAACCCGTCAACGTCGAGAATAGCATGCTTCTCTAGTGTATAGTCAGGATTACCCAGTCGGTCCTTTTTCCCGTTGGGGAGTTTTATCAACTCTGTTGCATACTTGCGGAAGACTTGGCATCGTCCAAACCCTCTATCGACTGATGCCTTATTCAGAACGAGGGCATCTTCAATATCGTATCCTGAATATGACATGACGACAACGGTTGCGTTTTGACCAGCAGGCAGTTTATCATAGTGAACCAATTGGATCGTTTTAGAGATGACCATGGGTCGCTGTGGATAGACCAAGGTATAGAGGAGGGTGTCGATTCTGTTAAATTGATTGTATGCGATAGCACCAATGGCTTGTTTACCCATAGCACATTGGTAGGTGTTTCGTGGGGATTGGTTGTGGTGAGGAAAAGGGATCAGGCCTGCCACGGCACCCAGGATCGTGAACGGCTCAATTTCCAAATGAGTAGTGCTCTGTGTGATTTGGTCCTCGTAAATGGTAATCAGGGCATCGTTCTCTTCATTAACATCGAGATACTCCACCACACCCTTGCGCAGAAAGTCGTCGAATGTGGCCTTACCCATTTGTAAGAGCCGCAGGTGTTCTGGCTTCAACTTCTGCTGTCCATTTTTTACAATAATGTACGGCCGGCAAATGCGACCTTCGTCAGTGGCAATATGGACGGCATTAAAGTGCGTATTGATGTTGATGCTAACAAAAGGTGATATCCATCCTCTTCGGCGCATTGTCCGGAATTTGTGTGCAAACCTCTTTGGGTAACGTGTAAGGGCGAATGGTGTACCGTTGATGTGAATCATGAAGTTTCCCTCGCGATGCATCTCGGCTCCAGAGAAGTTACGAATGGGTTCAACACCAGCATCCAACGTGAAAACCCATCTCTTGACAGGCTCCTCTTCCACGTTGGTTGTAATATGGGTCATCAGAGCCAAGTTCTTGACCAGACCACAAGCCTCTCCTTCGGGTGTATCTGATGTGCACAACATTCCCCATTGCGAAGGCTGAAGAGCTCTGGGACCACTGACTTTCCGGGTCTTCTCGAACTGACTGCTGATTCTCGTCATCATTCCCAGGGCACTGATGTAACTAAGACGGCTCAGCACGTGGGTGACACCAGCCCGATTCATGTTGAAACGCTTCACAGTCCAGTTTCCTGTCTGAATAGCACGGTTGATACCCATCCCAATGGTATTGGCGTGATTGCTAACCATTTGTACAGCATCAAGGGCAACTCCGCGGTTGTGCTTCTTGAGGAATTTGTCAATGGATAGCTTAACTTCGCCCATGAACCGCTTAAAATTGTCTTCGAACAACAGCGACAAAAGCTGGCCAGCCAACTCTAGTCGTTTATTACCGACAAAGTCCCTGTCGTCGACAAGCTTGGTGTTCTGAGAGGCCATGAGCACCTTTCGAGTCATCATCGCAAGATAAATAGCCTTGGGATAGAAATCGAGGCCTTCGATGGGTACGTGGGCAACGACCAGGTTGGACAGAGCATCAAGCCCATCTTCAATGTTGTTTCGGCGAGGCATAGGACCAAACTGGCCTCTTTTGGATCCCATCTTTACTCGCGCCCCGATATATTCCAAGGCTTGCTGCTGAGTGAAGACCCCAACACGAGTAGCTTCGTCAAAGTTGATGACAAATTCATCTTGGTATCTACCATCAGAGCCTGCAACAAGTTGCATAATCTCGTAGTCGGACAGGCCACCCATGGCTTTCAGGACAATGACGATGGGGATATTCTCGACGAGTACGTTGTGCACAAGGGTAATCTTATCCTTCTTCAGCGTAACGCTAGTCTTTGATTTACGCTCGTGGGTTGAGCTGGTGCACGAAGCTGTAATGATGTTGTTCTTTTCGTCGGCCTCGACAATGACTCGGTTCTTCGACAGCTGTTCCTGGATCAAGATGACCTTCTCGGTGCCATTTATGATGAAGTAGCCGCCCGGATCCAGCGGGCATTCGTTCATTGACTCCATCTGAGCATTGGTCGCACCACTAAGCCAGCATCTGGAGCTCTTCAACATGACGGGCATGCGCCCAAGTGGGACATTTTTACGGGAGATCTTCTGCTTGTCTCGAATATAAACGATATCGACTTCGATTGGCGCAGCATATGTCATGTCGCGGAGGCGGCACTCCATTGGAGATACCTCATGTCGTGTTTTGATATCTGCATGATCTTGTCGACGGGGGCGTAGGACTCGAATGTCGCGGAATCTACAAAGTATCGTCAGTAATCGCATCCCGTGTCTGAGCAGACTGATCCAACATACTCAAGCCAAAAGTTGCTGTCTACATCGCTTCGAATCGTCCGGTTTGCGCGTACAATCTCTTTTATTTCATGCTCAACGAAGAAGTTGTATGAGTCGATATGTCTCGGATATGGTCAGTTGCTTTGTACAAGAAATGGATGATAAGCTCAGACTCACTGCTTAACAAGACCTGTGGCCATTGAGTTAGTCTTTCTTCGATATCGCACAGGTGAGGGGGGAAAGGATTCTACCTTTGACTTTGAGGAACGCTGGTAATAGCTGGAACTTATCCTCCTTGGTAGAAATTGGGTCTGTTAGCTTCTTGCCGTTGTAGAATGGCTCTAGGAGAGCTTCGAATCCGTCATCCACGAACGGCATCTTGGAAGTCACCACCCCAGTTGCACGGGGTATTGGTGCAATATGGGGAGATGGATGGCTTGAAGCCGGTCGCGGATAAGAGGATTAGCGATCTGCACGTCTGAGTTGCGCAAGGTTGGAGAGCGAATGGATGGACGGCTGGTTGTCTGCTAGAAAAAAAAGTTCTGCCCCGCGGATAGAGTCATCGCTGCAGCAGGTGCCCTCCTACGGCAATTAGTGGGCCTCTCCCGAAATGGTGGGGGACGAGTCTGACATCAAAGGCGTTTCCAGGGACCTGCCGCCCGCCGCTTAGCGAGAGCGTATTACTACCCTGCACCTGGGCAATCAATCATCTTGCATCGTCGCAATTGATCAGGTATTCAAAGGCATAATTTGACGTCGCAGTGGTGATACTTATAGGACTTGTGGGGCGACAACTCTGGTGTCTGCTCATGCAACTTACAGTCTCTCCGGCAGGATACCGCCCAAGGTTGACTGTTGTTACATGAGCTTTGGCTTTGGTGACAACGATAATTAGTGGTGCCAATGTAATAGAAACCACATAATTCCTAAGCCAGCTCTGATTTATAGGTAGGAAAGGCGGTACCAGATCAGCGGGAAATCCTACTATCGCGACCCCAAGGGCGGCAAACCAATGGGGGGCCGGGAGGGTCTGTCTCGCATCTCGTTGCATTTACATTAAGTTGTATGACTTGCTGCTGCAGAAGGCGAGGTTCTGGTTGGGGTGCCACCGGCTTCTAGTGGTGCTCCTTGTGGCACTGTAGGTGGCCCCGCCGATTGATATTCCCAGAGCGGGTCTTCCCGCAAGGTCAGATCAGATAGAATTTAACCTACGGCGCTCGCTATGGCTGCAGCTCCATTTTCCAGTCTCTGGAAGTGTCTGGCTCAGTCATCTTGGGCTTCAGCATCACGAGGCCCTGGAGGCTGGGAGGCCCTTTTGTCTCAAGAGATGTCGGTAAACAGATCTGGTCCATACTACCCGAGGTAGGGTAGGCAGTCACATCTCGCCTCAGTCTCCGGGAGGGTGACTCGCAGTTGATTGCCGTGCTAGTGCTAGCTCCGACGAAGGCGGGTGGCTACAGACGGCTCCTGGGGCAATTTGATGCACAGTTTAGCCTCAACGTCGTTGCTATTGACGCACTACGATGTCGACATATGCACTGATGCTTGCCGAGCATCCCTCCCGCACGATATGAGGATGAGGGTCAGGGTTTATAGCACCGATGCCCGGTGCCTCGATTCCGCAGGTATTCCCATCGGGCCAAATCCTCCTCTCTCTAACCACAACTTGAACATAGGTACCCAGCCCGCGGCTAATACTACCTACCTTTAAAATGGCTTGGAACCGAGACGGATCGGGGAAGGATGGAGAGGAGTCATTACCCCTCGTCGTCAGAGACTCGCGTTAGACCCAAAACCGGCGCCGACAGCGCTGCTAATGAGGAGGCGGGACGGCTGTCACAAGTGGTCGGTCCACCATGTCCGCCAACTCATCTCCACCAACTACCTCCTCCCAAAAGTCGGTGAGCGTGGCAATCGGGAGGGGGATCGAGGACTTTAATAACGGTCGCAGTGGGAAAGAAAAAAAATAAGTCACTGTTGAGTGGACAGCGGGGTTTGTTGCCCTTCTGATGGGGAGCAGGTTTCTTGCAGGTACCTAATATTAGCTCTGCACTATGTATGTGGTACCCAGTCGTCAAAGATCAGATGCAAAGGGACCAACCACATCCGTGACTACGACCACGACCACCGCCTACTCCATTGAGTAGGACCCTGAAAAGCAGCTCCGGCATGAGGACCTGTCTCTCCAGGCTGCAGGCAAGCTTCAGCCCCTCTGTGCTCAGAGGCTATCTTGGTCCAGGTAAATCGCCAATAATGGACTCAAAACATGGATTACCGTAACCCAATGAACTGCTGCCTTCTGCTCCATAGTCTCCCCGATTCTCGTAGCAGGCCGAAGCCCACCATTACTAATTGCCCGACCTACGCCTCTGTACACATGCACCGACTATAATATTATGCCCATCCGTATTCAAGCAATGCCCAATATTAAGCGCTGGCTACAGTTGCTGGGCGCGAGAACAAGCCAGCGAATGGCCGGCGACAGACCACCTCCAAATCCCCAGTTTTCTCCCACCTTCGACGTAGCATCTGTTGATTTGAGAGGCAGTATTGACTTTCCCCACTGAATTGATTCATTTTGACCTGTTGCAGAAGGTACTTGGCGCCACTTCCCCCCTCTCTGGCTCATCCCGGTCTAGATGTCTCACCCGGGCTTGGCTCCGTGCAATGCCTTGGCTTTGCCCAGGTTTGTCAAAGTACATAACCTGGACAGGGCATGCTGGCCTACCTAGATGCTATGTAGCGCATCGCATATCCAGGAGGTAGGTAGACAGTGCAACTGCCCTATCATACCTGGGTGACAAAATCCAAGCTCGACACATAGAATACACCCACTTCTTGATTAGGTACCTGTCGAATACTCCGGACCTAACATGGCTCTGTTTGGCCGAATCCGAAGCGTTCCTCAGAATGGACATGGCTCCACGGAGGAATTAGTGCCCAGCCTTTGAAAACCGTATGTACTTTTAGAGCCTCGACATTTGGCGGGTATTACAAATGATCCTTCAGGGAAGAATCTAGCACTGTTTTGATCCTCTTTGGAAATGGTGGTTTTTTTCGTTTCATCAACTTCTTTTTCTACCGTACCATCGCATAAATATGATGATGATGATGAGTATGTACTTACCAAGTACCCATGCCACCTGTAATCCAGCTTTCAGCTCACCGAAAGTTGACGAAAACGCCAAAAAGAGCGGACGAGAAGTGTATTGGTTGGCTGGGAATGTATAACAAGCAAGGCCTGTCGACAACTACTACCTACCTCTGCGCCCGACCTGGCAACTATTCATTGGTAGTGCTGTTTTGGCCAGTTCTGCTTGGACCATTTCCGCGACGTTATGTTGGCAACCCTGGGTAAGGTAGACAGATGACACGGGACGAGGAGATCGGCTAGCAGTAAGTCAGCCAACCTACTCGTTGGACGGCGAATCGTGTAGGCATACAATGCGTAAAAAACAGGACAGGAGGCAGGCTATCGTCGGGCGCGAGTATTCGTATTCCATGTAGTAGCCACCCTCTCAAGCCCGAAAGTGGCAGCACTGCTCTACTAATAGGTATGTATGGTAGGAAGTAAATTACTTAGTATTGATGTATATTGGCAAATGGATCACATTACCTTACCTTACCTTTTAGTTGCTACGAGCTAGGGCGGTTTGGCTTTCTCCGCCACAGAAGGTAATTCTACTATTCCGTTGACTTCTGGAAGAAAGGGCAATGCAGTTGATTTTCTTTCTGTCCCCCATCCTCCATTTTTTCTTCAATCCTTTTCTCTCTAAACCCAAGCCGACTGGCATCACCCAACTTGACTGGTTCGCGTCAGTTGGCTGTAATTTTCATTTGTTGAATAGATATTGCTCTCTATTTATCACCTAGGGTCCCGGCTGGCTCAAGACCCGCCGGACTTCAATTACTAGGTCGAGATCGCACCGCGCCCATCGTCACCTGTTCTTTGCCTTCCGTGTACGATTAGTTACAAAACACGAGATATCGAGGACCCTGAAAATTGTGATTCTCGGACTCAATAGGTCAGATACTGCCTGGGTAAGTGAGTTTTTTTTCTCTCCAGCTTTTGCGCAATACTCTGCCTATGTTCTTCCTGATACATGTTCTATGGCCTGCCCGAGCGGTCACTTGTATCATCAAGGACTCGACTCAACAATTTCATCCCACAACTGCTTTGCCTTTTCTCGCACAACATCCCCAAGCCCTAGATCCTCCCTTTGTGTGTCGCCGGGCTCTGCTTCACGCAAGATGATGGCATAGCTGCACTGCTGCAGCTCTGATTTGTGCGGGGGTGTTACTCCTCACCTCTGCCTGCGACATACTATGTACATACATCCAGGTCCAACGAGCAGGGGTGACAGGCACGGATTCAGCAGCAGTACGGCACGTCTCCATCCAGCAGGCGTCCCTACTGCCGCTTGTCCATCGGCAGCCGAAACCCAACGAGTAAATGGGTGAATGGGCACAATGCGACCAAGAGGGTTTGGCAAGTAGCGCCGCAGCCGGGTCGCCTGCTGAACAGCCTGCTGAGCAGCAAGCCCTGGCCTGGAGTTTGGTTGGCGCTGTTGAGTGCTTCGCTGGCGCTAACTCAGCCAAAACAAACACCCCCAGGGCTTCAGGTCCGCTGTCGTCACCCAGAGTCACAAGCCATCCATCCACTGCCAGGCATCAATCGGCACCGTCCTTGACCCCTGGATTGATGGATGGCTCCCACCCCACCACCCCCCTGACACTGCACTTGTCCACCTGCAACATCCATCTTCTTTCTTCCCAGACCCATTCCAGGCCAGTCCAGGTTGGGTCCGCAAGACCAGACCCAAGACAAGAGAAACCCACAGGCGCTGTACCGCACCCCGCCTCCTGGAATATCGTCGTCCACGCCTGTCGTTGCCTTCTTCGAGCTTGTCTTTCCTTTCCTTCCCTTTGCGTGTTTCTTGACAGTCGCTCACTCTACCCTCGCCGTCCCCTTCACAGGGTGATTGCTGCTGACCACGGTGCTGGATCTCCCAGATAGAGTCCATGCAGTCAGCCTTTTCGCAGAAGAATCCTTCCCGGCAAAATTACGCTTTCGCCTCAGTAGGCGTGTACGATTGGCTTCCGACTTCCCTTTGCGATCACAACCGCCATCATGGACGAGTTGCGCTTCCGATCGCAGCACTCTCCTCGTAACGAGAACCCCGTTGCCTCCTTTGTTTCTCCTACTCGCAATGGGTCCCGAGCCCTCCAGCAACAGGGCCAGCCGGCTTCCCTCGATACGCGATCCGTCCTTCCTCGACGCTTCACTACCGATTCGAGCCGTGTACCAACATTGTCTTCTATGTCTATAACCTCCCCGCAACGCGGACCCGACCATGCCCAAGATTATAACGTAGGTGGCGCCCTGGATGGTGTGGCGGATGCGATCTGCCGCTCTCGCCTTCAGATCCCTGGCAACGAGTTTCTCTGGTGTAACATCTGCTAACTTTCGGCTGAACAGGCGTTACACAGAGTTCAATTGGTAGGTTGTTCAACGTAGCAATCGTGCAGAAGGGCTCTGTTAACGCCCCCCCTCTGTCAATGATTTGAACCTATTAGGAGGGAGTTTGGACTAATGCTTGAAACAGCTTGAGCAGAAAAAGGCGGAATACGAGAGAATCGTCAACCAGAGACGACGCTTCGAGCTAGAGATGCAAATTCTGGACCAAAGATCCCGCCGTGAAGCAGCTGAGTTGGCCCAGCTAGAGGAAGAGGTGGTTAGAGTCACTGGTCATCAATCCGAACCGACGACGCCTCCCGAGCATTATTCCGGCTTTCCATCCGCCTTATCACGACCGAGCCGTTACTCTATGTCGAGCATCACCTCCCCTCCGGGTTTCCAAAGCCGATCAGCCAGATCTGGATCTCAGCTCACTTCTCCGCCCGCCGGGATGATTGGAGGATCTCGCTATGGCTGGGATGACCATTTGCCATCTCGCTCAGTCCCGATAACCCGCCGAAACAGTGATGATGAAGAAAGGGATGAGGCTGTTCGTCAAGATCCCACTAGCCATCGATCGACCCATGCGTAAGTCTGATTTTTTACCACCCTTGGGATGCTTTGTTCTGCGATGTTCTGGGGTTTTTGGGGGCAAGTGCTGCCAAATCCCTTGGTAGGAGATTCCACATTGAAATTCCGGTTTGATTCCCTTGCTGGAGGCTCTGACCCGTCTTTGGGTACCTGGAGCGCTTCTGGTTGAAAGAGCATGGGGGATTCTTTTTGCTGAGCCAAGTGGTGTCGGTACATGGGAACCCGGTGACTGGCTCGGTTCACGAGTAGTTGAGCTTCTCTCACTTTTGGCTGAGCGCGAGGCTGGAACAATGCAGCGGCGCGTTTCCGCAGGCTATTATTATTGTGTTTAGCCACACACAATAGCCTTCGCATCTCCTCTCCTGCTGCCTGTGGACCCCTATAAATCTCCTCTCCTGCTTTCACTCCTTATGCCAAGTAGACGTTTCTTTTTCGCCTCTAGCCACTTCATCTTCACACCCAAGCTCCAGCCGCTCACATACTTGAACCCGTATTTCCTTTGACACCCTTTGGGCTTTGAAACTTGCCCCTGAATCTATCCTACAGCTTTGAACTTCGGGTTCAGTTCTGCTATTCGAGGATTTTGCTCTTCTCTTCTCAAATTCCATTCTCAGCGCGGCGTTTTCAGTTGGCGGATTGTCGGAATACTGACGATTATGGCGTTCGAAAATAGTATCAACCGGTATTCGATGCCGGTGACAAGATCTCGAAATGGCCTCTACGAGCCAGGACTTGACGCCACTAACACTGCACGGTTCTTGTTCGGGGACGAGGATGCTGGTGCTGCTCAGCACGCGAATGCCATCGACCAGGGATTTCCGACGCTGGTCCGTCGTGATGATCAGATTGTGAGTACTATTCATTTTATTGTATCATTGTTGCCTGTTATTCAAAAAACTATCACGGCTGGCCTGGGTGGAGCATTTCAGGCGAAAACGCGCTGGAAAAACCCATTCATTGAGGAGAGGAGACGAGTCAATGGGGTAGTGAATCACCTCCTCCTGACCTTGGCCTCACCTTGCCTCCTCACCCACCACCTCATCTGACCATTACCTTCCTACCTAATCTCGCTTTCATACTCCACAAAGCAGACCGCCCTCTTTCATTCCATCCCGTAGATTCCCCCCGTTGCCTATTGTTCCTACAAACTACTCTTTTTGGTGCGGGGTCTCGCAGTCAGAGAGGCACCGAGTTTCAGCACTGTCAGATTGTCTTGTTGATTAATTGTAAACGTCGCTTGTTTTCTGACCTTCGTCGTTTGTGTTCAGCTATCTGCATCCTCGGCTGCCCTCGACCTTGCCTTGTCATCGTCACCCGCCCCTGAAGGGTCTGTTTCGCACCACTGGAGCAGTCACATTAACCGACATCGAACCCAACAGAGCCTCTCTTCAATCAACGGAAACTCGTCTGGTCTGAGCGAGAGCAACACTCCGAGTAATCGACCTACATCTCTACGCCAGTCTCTTGATCTGAAATACATTTCAGAGAACGCATCCGAAGCTCCCAGCCCTGGCGCTGTGACCCCAGGTAACCACGCCATGACGACTCCTCCCAAGATGCAGAGCCCATTTTCTCCCAGCGACGGGCCTTCTGTTAAGAACATGGCTGGCTCCTCTATCCAAGGTGGAAATGCCAATAATCATGCTCAGCAACATTTCCACAACCACAATGCCAGCATGGGCCGCATCCCCACGGGCATCGCACCCACTCGCGGACACAGCCGAGAGCTGTCTGCTGAGAGCAACTCTGCAACCGCCCGGGACTCAACTCACCAGTACCAGTCGCTCCAGTCTGCCCTCCAGGCAAGTGCTGCTCCCTTTGGCCCTAGCACCACCACTACTGCTCAGCAGCCATCTGTTCCCGTCACCGCTCCTCCCAACATGAACATGATGAATGGCTTCAACGGGTACTACCCTCCAAACGGATTTGTTCCTGCGAATGGTGTCAATGGCCCTCCTGCCAACTACCAGATGAACATGCTCACTGCTGGTATGCAGCAGATGAATGTGAACGCGGTCGCTGGCGGCAACATGTATCCTAATGGCAACTTTGGTGCCGCCGGTGGTTATGGTGCAGTGCCCTTCAACCAGGCTTCGCAGCCGCCTCGTGACAGTCAGGCACGTGTGATCCAGCACCGCCGACAGCTTGATAATGAAGGTAAGCAGGGCACACATGCTCCGAAGTGCGATGTCCTCTCAATGCATGTGATGCTAACTTGTCTCTCCTAGTTATGTCCCGCTACCAGAATATGCCCCTCGAATCTTTCCGCGGCCAAATTTATGACTTGTGCAAGGATCAGCATGGTTGCCGTTACTTCCAAAAGAAACTCGAAGAACGCAACCCTGAACAGGTTCACATGATTTGGCTCGAGACGAACATGCATGTCATTGAACTCATGACAGACCCCTTTGGTAATTATTTGTGCCAGAAGCTTCTTGAATTTTGCAATGATGACGAGCGGACTGTTTTGATCAAAAACGCCTCTCAAGACATGGTTCGTATTGCACTTAACCAGCATGGAACCCGGGCTCTGCAGAAGATGATTGAGCACGTCAATCTTCCTCAACATGTACAGCTCATCATTGAAGCACTCCGCTTCCGCGTTGTCGAGCTTATCCAAGATCTCAATGGCAACCACGTCATTCAAAAGTGCCTCAACAAGCTCAGTTCCGCTGATGCCCAGTTCATTTTTGATGCTGTTGGCAACAACTGTGTCGAAGTCGGAACTCACCGCCATGGTTGCTGCGTTCTTCAGCGCTGCATTGACCACGCTTCGGGTGACCAGAAGCTCTGGCTGATTCAGAGAATCACAGAGCACTCTCGCATTCTGGTCCAGGATCCCTTCGGAAACTACGTTGTCCAGTACATCATCGACCTCAACGAACCAACCTTCACAGAGCCTGTTGTTGCCATGTTTCAGGGTTGCATTAGTGCTCTGTCACGCCACAAGTTTAGTTCCAATGTAATCGAGAAGTGCTTGCGATGTGCCCAGACTCCTTCCAAGGACATGATTGTCGAGGAGATGTTGTCTCCCCAAGAGATGGAGAGACTTCTTCGGGACTCGTTTGCCAACTATGTGGTTCAGACAGCTCTGGAGTATTCTACTCCTCACCAGAAGCATCGCTTGGTCGAGGCCATCCGGCCGATTCTCCCTCAGATTCGATCTACCCCCTACGGTCGTCGTATCCAAGCCAAGATTTCTGCCTACGACAACCGGGGCAGCGCTGCCTCTAGCGGGCAGGCGACTCCAGCAGACAATACTCAAGGTCAGATCCCTCTCCGGGCTAGCCATCCACGAACCCTATCTGGAAGCAGTTCCATGCTGCAAGGCAACGGACCCGCGAACGGCGCAGCAAATGGGTTTGGACAGAGTGCGTCCTCAACTATTGCAAACACAGCACCTGTCTCTGCACCCTCTACTCAAGGAGGTCCTGTGCAGCCACCACAAGCTGCTCCTCTTATGTCTGCCCCGTTCAATGGGGCTCAAGCCCCAGCAAACAGCCCTCCTGAGGGTGCTGAGGCTCACTGGGTGTAATATGCCGGCTTAGGCGCACCGACACTTACACTTCGATTTGCATGTACAATGATGCCTTTTGCTATATTTCTGCTACTTCATGGTACTTGAGTTTGCACGATATGGTCACGACACGCCAACGACTGATGAATTTTCCTTTGCTGTGCACTTGGCGAGACGTGACTCAGTTTATCCCTGAAAAACAAAGTCGCAATAGAACAGAAAACACATTGAAGCCCCGCTTACTCTGTTATCGACGAGTTTGATTCTTCTCATCGCGATAGAGTGCCCAAGCAGGTTGATCTTTGTGTGTACAATATGGAAACTGGGAGTTTTACGGAGAAAAATAAGAAAGAAGAGCATTCATGGCAGTTGAAGCAAGTCACTTGCAGAGTTCTTACCACCAATCCTGGAGGTATGAAGACGCAGAGTTACGTAGCTTCAACGTGTACCTGTACTTTGAACTTTACGATCAGCACCGGCATAGATATTCCTTTTGTTTCTTTCCTTTTGATCTCGTGCTTTCATTGCCAAGCCGAGTCTTCTCGCAGATTCAAGCCTCCCCGATACTATCGTGTATAGCATTCGTGCCTCGAGCTGATGCTCCGACATGACAAACATGCGAGAATTTCCTCTTCTCTGACGATAGAGCTCGGCGCTTGGGCTTGGAACAATTTTTTTCGATCAGCTGCCTCAAACAATAAGGAACTTCCCACAAGGCGAATGTTTCATGGGAATGAAGTCAAGGTCGGCGAATTTACTGTACTTTTTGTGCCTCTATCTAAAGGCCACACTCGACTGGGAGGGATAGGTTGCTTGCTTCTTTTCGTCTATACACAGTCATTTCGGCAAATGGTCCCTGAACACGGTATGTGTTGGGTTGCTTTCAATGGGGTTAAGACAATTTTTTTCTTCGCTTTCACTTTATTCTTTGCCTGTACTTTGCCATTCGTTTCTTCTTCTCTTTTCCATTCTCTCGTGTTTTTTCGAGTGTGCCTGTCTCGCCCGCATGGGATAGCTTCCTCCCCCATCCTCTCTGGGACTGAGGTAGCTATGAGGCTTTGGATCGAGGGTGGTCTACTGGTTTGGTTTGCCACCTCGGCCTGGACTGGGTCGGATCCACTGAGAAAAGGGTCTTTTGTTCCTTGTATTTAGAAACTTCTTCGAGCTAAAATTCGGTCTTTCTCATCAACGCACTCTGGCTCTGTCCGTAATGTGAACCAGCCGTAACATGTTTTCGTAGTGCTTGAGCCTCATTGAGCTGGTACACGTAGCCGGTTCAAATTCTCATAGTAGTAGGGTTGGACTGGGGAATTCGTACTTTTGGAGGAGATATTTCGTTTCGTCCCGGCGAGAGCACTAGGAATACTAATTCAAAGGAGTACAAGGATAGGCAAAATCATTGCAATTTCTATGCAAGGAGGTTGGACTGGGGCACATTGGACAGGAGCACATTGGACACATCACTCAACGAGGGCAGAACAAGACGGCCATCATCAGTATACGAATTGAATGAAGAACATTTGTCTCCGGGATTAACTTTCATTCCCATTTTGTTATCATAAGTAGTTTTAAGCCCCCCATGAGGGGAGCAAGGCAGAGCACAACCATGAACCACACCCATTTTGCCCAAGCGAAATAAGCTGACGACCAAAACACCACTGTGCCAAAGATTGCAACACGGCCCGAGGGCTCCAGAGCGCAGTGGCCGCCGACCAAGCCAACGACTCGGTGGCGAGTCGTTTACCGGTAGCGCCAGAGAGAGAGGGTGTTGTGGCGCTTCCAGGTCTTTCTGCGGCCGGCCTGGGTCTTGCTGTAGCGGCCGCCCTTGTTGAGACCGCGGGACTTCTTGCCGGTGGCGGTGAGACCACGGGCCTCGCGGTGCTTGTGGACGGGGTTGACGATCCAGTTGATGCGGGGATCGATGCGGATGGCCTTGTGCTGGGGGTCGACGAGGATGACCTCGTAGTACTTGTAGGTCGAGTCCTGGTTGATCCAGTAGGAGTTCAGGACGCGCAAGTTAGCGCAACGGCGACCAACACGCTCCTCAGCGGTGGCCTTGAGGGAGCGCTGGTACTTGAGCTGGTTGATACCCTGGTTGGTGGGCTTGCCTGTGAGAGGAAAAAAAATTCATATTAGCTAGACTGGTCATTCTCCTGGAAATCGCCTGCGAGAGCGATGAATTGGAGAGATGGAGACGTACCGTATGTGGCACCCTTGGGGGCAGGTCGCTTGCGGCCACCACGGCGGACACGGACACGGTAGACGACGTATCCCTGCTTGGCCTTGTAGCCGAGACGGCGAGCCTTGTCGGGGCGCGAAGGGCGCGAGGCACGGTGGATGACGTTCAATTGACGGAGCTATATTGATGCACTCTCAGCATATGTTCAACGAGTGTATAGCAAGGACGGGCTTGAGGGTAAAAATTTTCTGACTTCCTCTGATCCTCGAGCGTCACTCAAATCGCCAAAGACGAAAAAACGCAGCGAGGAATCGAATCAAGCCGTACAATTTGAACCCCAATGCCCGCCCACACTTGCAATTGAATATTTGTAAAATCGAATCGGTTCAACGTACTTCCCAGCAGCGGACTCGCAGGAGAAACTGCATAACATCCGACTGCTTCTTCTTCTGAAGCTCCTCGACGTACTTAAGGGCACCCATCTTGGCTGTTGCAAGACTTCTATTAGTATAAAACTTAGGATGGTGGTGTTGATGGGAGAGGGTGAATACAAACCGGTTTTTGGGGGTGTTTTGTCCTGTGGTTAGTAGGATGAAGTTGATGAAGGAACTATTTCCACAAGGAAATTTTGGATGGCCGGGAAGTTTGGTGTGAAAATGAAATGTTTGTGGGCGAGCCAGTGGGCTAGATCAAATACAGACTAGCTCAAAGGGCTGCCCCTCTTCCTCGCACCAAGCGGGTCAAGCCCTCACATTGGCTTAGTAAGTAGGTTGATGTCTAAGCTCCCATCCCAGTGCATGTGTGTTAGACAATTTTTGGCCAAGATCTCTCGTTTGATTAGATCAAGTAGATATGTGCAAGTATTGGCTGAGGATCTTCGCCGGTCACTAACGATCACACAGTATTCCTAGACCTCTGGTGCTCATTTTTTCTCCATGGAGCGCAACACATGCGTGAATGCTTTGACTTGTTCTTGTGCAATCCTGCCCCAAGTGTCCTTTGCCATCCCAGATATTTCCTTTGGAAAGAACTCCCAAGCCATCCTTGCGATTTCATCTTTTGGATCAGGTGGATTCTTCAGCGATGGGCTTGTATTCGGTACGATGAGACTGCTGATTAGCCGAGTTGCTGTGAGAATGGCATGGTCATCTAAAGTTTCAAGATCCCTCTTGTCGTGCGCCCACCTAACCCCGGTAGGCATTGTAATGCCATCTTCGTATTTCTCAGGCGCTTGGTGCTTGGTGATCATCTCTTTGAACCGATGCAGGGCATCTTTCGTCTTTTGAAAAGTTGGATTGTGAATGTTGGAATGTCTCCCTAAATATCCGATTGATTCAAGATCTGGTGAACTCGCTGGGTAGTGTTTTGGATCAAGGTTGGTCCCAATTCTATGCAAGTCAGCAATCGAAGTAGTGGGGGCCAAGTTTCCTCGGAGAGACAGAGATCGAAGCTTACATTCCTTCTTCCTTCTCTTGAATGAATGCCAGGACATCCTCAACATGGCCCTGGATTTCAGCTCTGGCAATCGGCATGGTCACCTTGCGCTTCTTCTGTCCCTTCGCCTCCTCAAAGAATTGCCTTCATTTGTGAGAGCCCTGATCATCAATTGCAGAAGTTGGTTTGAACGAACTGGTTATCACGCCGCTCATCCTCTAGCGCATCGTCTTCATCGTAGGGTTGTACTGCTGCGGCCGATGAGTTCTTTGCTTTCTTGGGGTTTAATGCTTCTCAACCGTTAGTAAGGCTTGGATGGTCGCACAGAGTAAGAAACTCTCACTAACCAACTGCCGTGTCGACGGCTTGCCTTCTTTTGCGGGTGCTTGGCGCCATATTTGCAGCACCGTAGTTTCAAATTAAAAAAGCTTTACCCTTTTCTCATTCGGACACAAATGGGAATCAAGGCAGCCTGTGGTGATGTGGATGGGAAGTGCATTTCGGGTACGTGGCTTAAGGTCGTTTTGTCTTGTGCACTTTTTGTCTTGTGTACTGAGGAAGGAGCGACTGGAGCACTTCCGTCCAGCCACCTGCTCTCCTCTCGGGTGGTTAAAGTTGGCACCTGCCACCTGCCTCCTCACCTACCTACTATGTGCAATGTATCAACATAAACATACCTTGTCTTGGACAATAGGAGGATAGTAGAGGAGCAGGTTAAGATGCTACCACGCCAGGACCACTCAATTTGTAGATAGACGTGTAGTTCTGTGGTAAGTGCCTCCCTGAGGACGAGGATCATATCTAGAATAGAGGAGACCAGGTCATCTACATCACACAAGAGCGAGTTGACTTCATCAAAAACATCGTCAATTTCGTCGCAGAAACCGTCTTTAAAACCAAACACCAATGCCTTCTTTAGAATCACCCAATTTGGCCTTCCCGATACCCAACCCTTAAAATGCAAAAGAGCAGACTGATCTTTTTGTCATTTAGACGTACACGGCTTCAATTCCATACCCAAGCTTCCCCACCTTTGATTGCATATTAGTTACACCGTAAATGTATGAACTCGTCTCTGTGTCTATGGTCTCTGCCCATCCAGCAAAAGCAAAACATTTTCCAGCCGTCCCCAATCTTGTCTTAATTCATAAAATAATAGAGACGGTGCCAGGAAGTAAAACTCAAAAGCAAATAGGCCGTGTATAAAACCAACAAGCAATAAAACCAAGGTAAAGCAACCACAAAATGGTCTCCGTTATCAGTTGGTTTTTTTCATGAGGAATGAGAAAAGCAGAGAGAAAACAGAACAATTTTCCCATAAAGCACAACCAGTTGTAATCGTCGAAAAACAATTTCTGATCTCGTCACTCCTGTTAACGTTCCTGAACGTGCATGTCATTTGTAATCAAAGATAATAACGATTGACAAGTCTAGAATCCCCCAATTGCGTATACATGAAATCAGCTTCAAGAGAAGCTGAGCTTAATGAGAGTTCAGTGAGAGGCCTTGGAATGAACTGGTCCAATCAGCTTGTGAGGAGATAGGCGATACACCTTGCGCATGAGGGTTTGGACTGGGCTGGGAAGGGAAACGCTGGCGCACCGATGAGAAATCTCCGAGCTGTTGAAACCCAGCACCGGGGAAACCATCGGCAGTTGGAGAGATTGCCTGTCCAAATTGGGCTGCAGCCCTAGCGTTCCCAAATGCCCCAGCTTGTGTATAGCCATAGCCAATCCCTGGATAGGCAGTGCCGGCCGCTGCCATTCTCTCTCCGGTGTATAATGGGTTGACCGTTGGCTGAAATCCACGACTCGGCTGGGACCTAGGCCCATAGTTGGATGGCGACTGCTCTTGCTGTGGCGGAGGTTGCTGAGGCTGTTGCTGCAGCTGCTGCTGTTGAGGCTGCGACTGTTGGGCCTGACGCCTCTCACCACCAGCCGATGATCGGCCAACACCGACAGCGCCAGGTCCTACTCCGCTTGGAGCTTGAATGCCCAAAGTTGGGCTTGCAAAAGAGGCTGGATTGATTGCTGACATCCAGATGCGGGTCTTGTAGATCTTGAATAGATCGGTCACTAGGGAGTTGAAGTTGATGTAAGCATCGGCGAAATAGTAGAAGGTTAACTTCTTCCAATCCCTGCTGCGTGTTAGCGTTGCCCTGTCTGATTGACAAGCGCGGCGGTTCAACTTACATTTGGAATTCGGCATCAAGAATCTCCATATTCAAGCCATGCTCTTTGACCTTTTGCATGCAAACTCGTTTCGCTTTGGCTTCCTGGCCTTCCTTGTCCCGCAAGGCGTGGACCTCGTGGCTCTGCGCAAGTCGTTTGATCAATTTCGGCCGAAGCTCGCCAGCATTCGGTTCTTGCATATGGTGTTGTGTCGGTGGTCCCATTCCCCCAACAGCACTTCCTTGGAGTCCATTCGGGGATGAGAGCAGGGTAGTACCGGTACCCTCTTGAGCAGCAGCTGCGCCCTGAGAGTACATCATCAACCACTTGTAATGTTCCTCGGCGTAGTGTTCCTTGAGTTCCTTGGCTGTTTGCCAATCTACATTGTCTTTAGCCACAGTGCCCAAATCGGTACCACGATCCGCTTCGACAATGACAAGGTCGCCCGGCTTGACAGTCAAGCCAGTGCCTTCCTGAATGTAAAATACATCGGCCCGAGCACACTTGAAAAGAACCATATGGAGGAGCTGATTATGTCTAGGCTGTGCCATGCTGAAGACGTTGCGGTGAGGAGATGGTGCTCGGTTGGCGAATGGAGGTGGGTTTCCGTAGGGTGCTCCGTACGGGCTTGCATATACAGGAGGTATGTTTGCGCCAGGGCCAACGCCAATATATGATGCTATTTGAAAGTCAACTTCCATGTTCCAAATCGTCGGGTACAGTAACATACCTGGGTTACCACTCGTCACATAGCCCTGATTGCTCTCCGCGAGACCGGTCACATAATCCTGTAGTTGTTGTTGCCCGTCCGGTGTGGATATATCCAGAGTGGATGTTGTGTCCGCGATAGAGCTAATCGATCCTTGCCGAGTCGGCATGTTGGCAAAAGAATGTCGCCTGCTCTGAGAGCCATCCCCAAGAGAATAGGCGGATGTAGACCACAAAGCTTTCTTCAAGTTGGAATTATCCACCTTTCGGGGGTCCATAGAGAAGGGCGAGCGCACCGGTGCCACGCCGTACTCACTCATTCTTCTGCTATTGGCAGCTCGCCTAGCAAAGGATTCACCGCCGTCGTTCAACTCATCCAGCTCGTCAATAGCGAAATCGGATTCTTCGGGTACCGTGGAATATCCATTGCCAAAATACGATGTCCCGGTCATCGCGCGAGGTCGAACCCTGGCATACTGCTGCTGCCGAAGTAAAGCGTTTTCCCTGGCAAGCATTTCGATTGTCTTCGACTCGGCGCTCTGCGTGAATGACCCTTGCAATGATTCGCTAAGGCTGCCCTCCTCCTCATCGTCATCAACCTCCTTGACCTTTCCTAGCATTGAGCCGTCGCTGGCCATCTCGCTCAACATGCTGGGGCGGGAGGGTCGGTGCTGCAGGGCAGGATGTCTTGCCCTCCCGAGAACAGCAGAAGAACTCATGGAAGGAGGCGCAGATGATTCGAGCTCCATCTGACCAACTGAATACGATTGGGATCGATATGTTTTCGGTGTAGGGTGAAGAGGGATCGCAAAGGGAATCTGAGGATTCGGTCCTGGTTCGCGGGTATTTGGTGAGGCCTGAGGAATTCCATGCTCAGGTCCGAAGAAAGAATTCGAACTCATCCCTGGAGGAACAGTTGATGTAGGGGAGGGAAGAACTTCGCTGAGTCGCAGAGGAGGGTCTTTTCTCTCATTGTTCCAAATCCCGGCCCCCCATGGGAAATTGTTACCACCGGGAGGGCGATTCATGTTGGAAGAATTCGAATGAGTTCCCCAGGGAGCGTTTCCAGCCTCTCCAGATGGTGTGCTGGGATGGGAAGCTGTTGGTGACATGGAACCACTAGCAAAAGAGCCCTTTCGGGGGCGATTAAATGACTGGGAGGTGTCGTTCAGCCAGGAGGATCGCCTCATCGGTTTATGTGGATGTGCTGCTGCCTGCCGATGATCGGCCTCGTCATCTGAGCTTGCCAGAGCCTCAGAATCCGGCGTTGATGTGCGCGCGTTAACTTTGTCCAACAGATGGCTCTGGGAGTTCTGGGCACCAGCCGCAAATGGCCCTTGGCCGGGTTTCGATGGCGCACCCGGTTTAGGAGCACCGGTGCTCATCTTCGTTGTCGGATACGGGTCGTCAGTAATGTTGGGGAGCGTCCCTTTTTAGGCTCGCTGAGCCAAGTCTGAAGCTGCTGCACCGCGCAGTGGATAGACTGAAGTGACCAAACAGACGGGGATCAATCGAAATAATGTTGTGAAGCTCAGAGGAATTTGAAATAAAGTCAAGTGGTCGTCAGAATCGAACCACGTGATGGGTGTTTGCAAAATAAGGATTCAACTCCAAATGACCAAGTACTTAAGGCGCGCGCGCGCACACGTGTATATAAGTTGCAACTCCTTACTCTTGAATAGATAACAAACAGAAAAGGGATATCTGTGAATCAGTCAGCTTGGGCTTGTGAAAATCAAAACAATGCTCGGGCGCGGGAGCATATGGCAGTTATAGCGCAAGCAAACGTCAAGGGGAGCTGGAGGGCGGGGACGGGGTTTTCCAATCCAGGCGTCTCATAGGTATCGCGGGAAAACCATGTGTTGCAGTGGCATTGGCCGATGCGATGGCCAAAGGATAAGGTAGTAGAGAAGAGACGTATTGTGCACTCACCGGATGGTAGGTCTTTCAGTCTATCGAGAAGCCGAAGCGGGCATAAGCTCTAATCGTTACAAGATGAAGAAAATAAAAGAGATGAATAAGGGAGGACGAAGAAAGTCAAGCCAGGACTAGCCGATGCGCAATGGTGAGATGGTTGGTGTAGAACTGGGCTAGAAAAGATACTTGTTGGCGGCTGCTGGTTGGTGTCTCGTGAGATTTGTAGGCCAGCGGCGATTGCGAATTGAAGGAGGTAGGTTGGCGATTAAAGAGAACCAGAATACTGCGAAGAGGGGTATAAAGATGTCTAAATGATGCGTCTAACCTGGAGCCCAAAAGAAAAGATTCAGAAACGTTGGCGGGAGAAAATTTTGATGCGCGCGCATGTGTAAATTGGCGAGAGCAGGTGGTGGCGTGAGAAGTCCCTGAAGTAAAGCGACGGCGGCCGGTAGAGTGATCAGGACCTGGAAAATAGGCGATGATAGTTGGCGTGGGTGGCGGGATCGGTTTTGATCATGTGGAAAAAAGAAGCTACTCCGCGTCCTCGAGGCCCATGGTCAGACACTGGCGCAGTGCAAGTGGCGCGCAAGGTGCAAGGCAGCCTGGGAGGGACCTGGAGGGCCCGACAGTGACAGTGACCGTGTACGTAGCGCAGGCGTGGGCGGACGAGCAGCGGCGCCACGAAGACGACACGGTGGGAGAGGTGTTGCCGGCAAATCAGATCAATTAAATTGCGGAGCCTGGGTCGAGTTTTGGGAAATTGGGTGGAAGCAACACGGAGGCCGGCGTGATCTGGGCAGAGAATGAGAATGGGATGAGAGAGCGCGAGAGGGAGCGAGGGAGCGCGGGAGGAAAAGAAAAGATGGAGAGGAGAGCGCGTGCTCGATTGAGGTGGCAGGTTGTCAATTGCGGAAAGCGGGGGAAGGATGAAGGGTGTTGTGACAGGACACAAGGCCTGGCGATTCCCAGTCGGTGCAGATGAGCGGCGATGGTTATTCAAGAAGACGGGATGGCAGGGCGGTCAGCCAAGGTCAAGGTCAAGTCGCGGTACTCGTCGGGTGCTTTCTGGAGGAAATCGAAAGTATTGGGGAAAGGGGACGGGGTCAGGTTCCAAGGCAGTCGATTAGCAGGCCGGTCGTTCTTGGGTCTTGGGGATCTTCTCCTGGCCTTGACTTCAGTCCAGTCTAGTCCACCCGGGTAATTTCTCCCAATGAATGAATCTCAGTGGCTGCCAACAGGGGGGTTCGCGAAGGGCCTGTGTGCTTGCGTCTCGCAGGTACTTGTACAAGTCACGGACCTGGAGAGACAGGCGACGACCCCGGTTTTTCTCTGGTCCTGGGAGGGTCGACGGCAGAGCTTGGCGATCCGGATGCAGTGGCCGGGGTTGGTTTGGTGGATGGGGATTGTAGAATACGTCCTTAGTCCAGCAAAAAGCGTGTGTGACTCGCTTGGTGGGGGAGCCGATGCTGATATGCTTTTACGTAGGAGCTGGGGGACTGGGTTTTAGGGCCCTCCGTCCCCTCCCCCTAGAAACCTGGAGGAGGGCTAAATGGTGCCGGCGAAAGCGGCACGGCTGCGACTGGTGGTGGGCGGCGAGATGGTGCATACCACTCTGATGGCAAACGCCGTCTTCTTGCGCCAGATGGAGGTTGCATCGGTTGAACGCTGAGGCCCAAACGCTACCTCCTACCTGATTTGATTCCGTCTTGGTACCTTAGCATCTGTGGTAACCTCTACCGGCATGAACAAGCATTGAGTTTACCAGCCCATGGCTGATTGCTTGTCCTCACCCCAATCGACGACTCCAAGGGGATCTCTGCACTAGCGGCCGCAGCAACCTGCTGGGCTGATCAGATTGACGGGCTGGTTCGCAACGTCAACGAGGGCGCAATTCTCTATTCATACTAGATCTGGCAGACCAGCTGTCGGGCAAATAAGCACCTAGGCTGGCCAATGCCGTTGTGGGCAAGCATCTACCACAGGCACTCGCACGCACCGGCTGGGACCAGCTCAAGGCACACCAGAGCCCTCCACACCTTAGGGCCGTGGATGGCAGGCGGGGAGATCGACTGGAGGGACGCGGGGAAGAACCATGGCCCGTGATTCATTGCTTGCTTACGGTCGTCTTCTCCGGTAGCAGGATTTGAGTTCTAGAGCTGCCCGGGTTGAGTTTGGGCATTCATCATGACTTGGCATCAATCGACCGATGCTTGTAGTTTCGTCTCACCCAAAGCAAGTGGTGTCAACCGTCTTATGGCGTATTACTTTCAGTACAAGCGCCATCAACAGGCGGTTGCGCACGAATGCCTCCTCAGCCGAACAAGTGCACATTATGGAGATCGTTTGGCGTCCAGACCCCCAGCGACCGTATGAATAGTAGAGGGCACCACAATTGTCATGCCACCAATTACCATCGCGATGAGACTAATCAACGAGGCAAAACCTTAACCTACCTAGGTACTTGAAAGCCGGAGGCCGTCTTTGCCCCAGCCAGCCGTCCCGAGATTTAGGTGATGTTCTTCTGGGAGCCTGAGGCATGACACTAGAATCGCAGACCGCCGCGACACTAAATGTGATCATGTGCTGCTGAATCACAGACACTCAGACAAGATGTCTGCATAACGGCCCCATTGGCGCTCTCCATAGCCGGCATAGACCTTGGGGTAGCAGCTACCTAGGTTTGGAGGTGACAGGACGGAGCTCTTGAGACGTGGGATAACTGGTGCCTTTATGATCTCATCATGATGGCTCACGCCCCAATGATGCACATCATGCTAGCCTGCAGCGTCCTGCGGGCCTGCGGCCTGACGTTGGGCGCTGCACATGTATATATTCCTACCTTAGTACTTACCGTAGGTTGGGAGGCGCTTGGGCGCAACTCCAGCACAACCCGCCCCTTTTTGCTGCTCATGGCTTATACAAACCTAGTTCAGCTCTTGCTCCCAGTCGCCTCCCTCATCGTCAGTGGCGGAGGGGAGGTGGAGTCACTTCCCGGCCTGGCGCGAAAAACCACACGCCCTGCGTTGCTCATTTCAGAATTTCTCAGTCTGTGGCGTGCGGTGGATGCCATCTACGTATCTGCGTATTGGTGCAGCACTTGGGGCTCGAGGGGGGCGAAACAGCAACGCGCACTCTCTATGTCAATGCGCTTCCTAAATCGAAATTGGGGTGGCAGGGCATGGATGCTTAGTTTTCCAGAGCCCGGCAGGGGCATTCGCCTAGAATCTTCCTACATAAGCTGAAGCCTACTTGCGAATAGCGTCCAGCATCGACGATCTCCATGCATGTACAGCACTCAGAAGCCCTGCCTGCATTTCCTTAAGTCTTCTGCAGGTAGGGACTGGGCTCAATGCTACCACCAAACAACTGTGGGTGGGAGAGCCGGTACAGGTACTTGCCAGGATGTTGGGTGGCACGCAGGTGCGATTCCAGCACGGAACCCTGTACGGAGGCCCATCCATGCTGTAAGTCCACTCTTTATAGCGGGCAGCCACGGCATTCTCCTCAAGTGCTCGACCGGTGAGCAGCCGGCTGCACTGCTGCACTGCACTGCTGCTCTGCACTGCTGCTCTGTCGGTGCAGTGCGGCTCGCCCTCCAGCCAACAACATCGCAGGACGAAAACACCAGGCACATATTCATGTATTGCCAGGTTTCATAAAACCCTGCATTGGCAGCATTAAGCGCTTTCCTTGAAAGCATCCCACCCACCTCTTCGAAAACCTAACCAGTCCTCCGTATGTCTCTCTTCTCTAACGGTTGGAAGGAAGTTAGCGCTGAACAACCCCTGTTCAGGCCTCGCGGCCATCGTTACACTAAGCCCCTCAAATGCATTTCCATCTTCGATATCCCAAAGTCTCTTCAATGATGGCGTTGCTGGTGCGGAATAAAGTTGGAAAAGACAAGTCCCATCTTTGGTCATGTCCCGGATCCCTGGTTGCGCATCCGCCCTCTCTAGCCTCTGCCTCTCCTGTCCCCCTGCCTGCCATTTCTCGCTCGCACCACTCTTTGTCGGCCCACCGCTTTGAGTTAAGACGCCACTTCGCTGGGTCGAGCAGCGCATCCCCGAAGCGCATAGAGGTCAATCAGCTGCAACCCACACTGCAAGACGTCACGCGACAAGGTTTGCTACCCCGCCTGTGAACGGATGCTAAGTCGTGTGCTTGAACACGTTCTCCCATTCTTTGATGTGTTCACTTGCTAGAGGGTCGGCGGCCTGTGAGGATGGCCTGAGTGACCTGCATCCGGGCGCTTGAAGAATAATGCGCACCGTGTCCACCAATTAGCATCAAGGCATAGGAAGTGCATATAGGAGGTGCACTGCATGAGGACCGCCTGGCAATGCAACACCCGTTCATGATATACGACCCAATTGGACAGTGCTGCTGTTCTCTTGACACCTGGTGGTGGGCAAGGGGTTGTCTCCCGAGGCCAATGTAGCAATTAGGGTACTTTACCCCGCATTCCTAGGACATGGCAGCTACTGCAAGCTGTCTTAGGTTTACGGTTTAAACCGGGTCTAGCGCACCTCCTTGTTGTACGAATAGTCTGACTTGGGTATTTCCCTTTGAGTCGAGTTGGCTGAGACATGTCTAACAGGATGAGGGGAGGAAGAGCGAGTTTGTCAGAGTGCCATGATCGGAACTGCAACCGAATCCAGCGAAGTGAATTGCAAACCTGTGGCAGTATCTAATAATTTCCAGCATCAGCTAGGTAGATAACTTGACATTATGCAGCCTGCACGCCAAATATCACTGCTCATTCATGATGGAGAAGCCTATGGCCTAGAGGATTGATTTCGTCCAATCTACTTGCCTCGGCAACTTATGTAAGACTTTCAGATGACAGTTTCACTCTCCAGAATGATTACGCCGAGAAAAAAAAATACCCGATGTTTGACTCCACTGATCGGATCTGTCTCAATAGCAGACATTCGCCGCTCTTTAATATGTTTATGGATCACAGAAATAACTTGAAATGTACATATATACATAATGATAATAAAAAGGAAAGAGAGAAGAATAATGGGTCGGAGCATCCTATTTATCCCTGCTCAAGAAGCTGTTTCTTACAACTCAGGCAAACCTCGCATGCGCTGCGAAGGTCTGCAGTGACTAGGGATCGCGGGCAGAGTCTACAAGTGCAGTCGCATGATTTTACAGGGTGTGGTAGAGATAGGTAAATATTTGCTGCCTGCCACTGTCCAGTCGACGCCGTCATCATTCTGTTCCTCTTCCTTTCAAGACCGGAGAATTCTTTTGAACTAGGAGAACCCTGAGAGGACGCCAATTCTTGTAGACACTGAAGAGGGCTCGAGAATTGATACAGCAGTTGTTCTTTGAATCTGCGCGTAGGGAAGACAGGCTGGTAATAGGACAAGAAGACTGCGTAAGTTCACCCCCAGAGTCGTCAAACCAACTCGCTCATATTAACCATAATATTGTATTCCTTCGCCAGCAAAAAATCCTGGAGCCTGGTTTACAATGGGCTCGTCGTCATCTTCTTCCAGCTCCTTTTCGTTAACCTCTCGGCACTGAAAGCGCCGAATCCTTCCTCTGATATGCCACGCACTCTGCTGAGGGGTGCAGAAAACCCTACGTGCTTTTCGAACCAATACCGCTCTATCGCACCGTATTTCCCTTTCGACGTTTGGGAGCAATCGTCTCTGTCGAGAAGGTAGACCGGAGTGGCATCTTTGACTGTTTCGGGTTCCCCTTGAAGTCTGATATCACTCTCCCCGAAAGCCTTGATCTTTTGCGCATCTGAGTCTTCTAGACACGTCGCTTCTCTTGTCGCATTTTCGCTTCAAGTTCCGTTGGATTCCGTGCGTCGTTTCAGTTCTTTTGGCTCTAGCGGATCTGGCGTTTGCGTAGTGCTTAATCTCTTGGCTACCTAGCCTTTAATATATTAGTCTCGCGTATACTCCATTGAATAATTCAAAAAAGTTAACAAAGGCTTGCCTCCATTCATGGAGCCGGCGCCAAGTTCCATGCATTCGTTTGCATCCTACCGTTGGGTTTCGAAGCTGGAGTTGATTGATGGGGTGATAATGTGTAGGTCGTAGAACGTACTAGTAGTGTTTCACGGATCTTCTCCTGTCAGAGTTGACTGATAAATTTCAACCAATCAGATCGTGTGTGTATTTGCATTTCGAATATATCAGACTAGCCCTTATACTGAATCTGCATCTTAGGAATATTACTTTGAATACCCAGACTTCAACTGCTCATTCAGACCAACATGATCTCTACATGCGCATGCGTGATCTACCAGGTACTTACCTATTCCCCAAGTTGGTAGCAGAGGTTAGCGCCAACTTGAGCCCCACATTCGAGTGATCAGCTTCAATTGTGCTGGGCAAATCCCTGTTGCGGAAATCCGCGGAAGTGTGGTGAGTGGATTTCAAACAGGGCACCCTGAATCCAATCCCTTTCATTGCCAGCTTCGTTTACTCCCATTTCACTGTGGTCTTGTGCTAAGAGATGGGAGGGTGAAAGCTCGAGTCTTGACTGAAACACCATGCAACGCGAAAAGGAACTTAGCAAGGCAACGTTTTTAAGGGGCAAAACTTTGGGGAAATATCCCTTACCCGGAGTTGGAACCTGACCCCCGTGTCAGATATAGCCGCCTAGGTGTGCGATGTACATTAATACCGTCCTGAAACATAACATTGCGTCTCTCTTGAGGAAGTAGAGATTCCGAAAGGAGTGGGATATGGGTGTAGCAGTATCTTTTCAGCTTTATAGTGCTTATAGAAGGATCTTTTGATGGCTAGCATAGCCAAAATTAGTCGACTTATTTACCCCGGATTTTCCCATCCAATTTCGGCAGTTCTTGCTTCTACCCCCGCAGCACTGCCATGCATGGTAGAAGGTTGCATCATCAACTGTTGTCAGCCGGTACCTTAATTATTTTTAATTCTTGTGTTGATCGAATATTACACAGTGACGTGATTGATTATCATGTTCCACCTAATCGCCTTTATATTATTGTCGCCAAATTACGTGGAATTATTCACGTTATATCAACTCAGCGGGAAGGGCTCAGGTGAGCGCATTTTTAAGCAATTGATTTCTACCTTCTCCTGGAGAGTCAGAGCTGCAGTAATATTTAATATATGGTTGCTTCATGGCTACACGCCCTACAGGATATTGTAGTGACGGCGTGATATAAAAGCCATACTGAGAAACGGAGTGAGGAGGGGTATCAATTTATCCATAGATTTTTAAGAGTACAGTCTATATTTTAAGGTGAACAGAGTGAAATCAGGCAGCAGTGGCATTGTCGCCCCTCTGGCTCTTCAGCTTTTCTTCAAACTTGGCGAATTCCTCCAGAGAAATTTGCTCCTCCTCATCCAAAACCTGTTCTACTGCTGTGACCTCCTCAATCTGAGGCGAATGTTAGATACCGTTCTCGGAAAAGTGGCGAATGGGTGGGAGGGAGAACTTTGGTACTCACGTAGTGCATCAGCATGCTCTCTATTCCGTTCTTGAGAGTAACTGTGCTTGAGTCACAGGTACGGCACGCTCCGCGTAGCCTCAGTTTGACGACACCGTCGTCAGTGAACCCTCGAAACTCAATATCGCCACCGTCCTCCTGGATGGCGGGGCGGATTCTTGTCTCAAGCAGCTCCTTGATCATGCCAACAACCTCGCTGTCATCCTCATTATAAGCCAGGCTGTCCTCTTCCTCCTCTGGCGCACCCTCCTTGCGCTCCGCTATGGTGACGATGTTCTCGCCCGAGGTAATAGCCTCGGTGATAAGAGCGAATATTTCGGGTCGGACGTGTGCCCAATTTACGTCGGCAGCTTTGGTGACGGTGATGAAATCGGCACCGTAGAATACCGACGTAATTCCATCGATGTTCATCAACTTCGCAGCCAGCTGGGAGGGGTACGGTGGAGATATGGTGGACCGAGGGTTAAGATACTCGATAAACGGTGTTCCGAGTTCTTCGGGAACAACTCGGTGATTCGGAAGGAATTTTATGGCGTCTGGGTTGGGAGTGTTTTCGGTCTGGATGAATATCGTTCGCACTCGGTTCGCCAGTCCCCCCAAAAGAGGACCTGGGAATTGTGATTGTTTCGCAAGCGGGCGGGCTCGGGTCGTCCGTAGAGGGCGGTTTGAAAGCGTGCTGAGCTGTCGCGCCCCTCCCAGCAGTGCCCGAGAGGAATAGTCGCGGATGGGCGCGGATAGCAGGCGGGCAGCCCGCATCGATGACTTCGTGCAGGACATCATAAGCCGTGAGAATTAGGGATTAGAAGATACCATGTGTTGCATAAGATGATGACATAGGAAAGTCGAGAATAGTGCCGAGGTGCTGAATGACGGCAACTTTTCTCTACCCACCCACTGATCGGCATTAGTAATGCGAGAGCGATCTAACGACCTCGGGGAAAATTGGCTTGCAGCCGCCTGAGCCCTGAGCGGGCCTCTAATCTTTCGGGTCGCGATAAGAAAAAAAGGTGATTATGCCTACGCCATCTGCATGGTCACCCATTCTCAATTACACGTCTGCTCTTCCGCCTCTCCAGTGGCCTGATAATCATCCATCGGATTGATTGGCAATTGTCAGCGCCATGGACAGCTCAAACGTCCAATCAATCCCTCCAGAGCCACCAATTGGCCCAGGCCCCCATAGTAGCACGCAGGAGGACATTGAGGCACCCACCGCACCGCCAGCTCATGATGTCAGACTATGCGGAATCTGCGAAAAGAACCCGCCCAAGTACAAATGTCCTCGGTGCTATCTACCTTAGTACGCCTCTCCCGTTTCTGTCCCACTCACTCTCGTGGATGCGATGTTCTACGTGACATGTACTGACAAAGAGATTCAGTTGCTCTGTAGCTTGCAATAAGATTCATCGCGAAAATCATCCTCCCGATCCTACGCCAGCACCAAACCCTTCCCCGCCTCCCACAGTCTCAGCGACAGCGACGGCAGCTCCAGAGGAATCCCATGAGGACTCTAGTGCCCATCCATCAGATCATCGGTTTGGCATGCTCGAACGCTCTAAGGAATTACAATATCTCTTCAAGAAGTACCCTCGACTGCCTAGACAATTACTTGACATTCATGCTGCAACCCTCCCACCTCCATCAGAGAAGTCTAGAATCCCCGCCTCGTTATTAAAGGACCTTCCGGAATCATCGAATAGCTGGAATCGTGATAAAGCAATGGCCAGCGGGAAAGAGGCTCTCCGCAAGGCGCGGGGGGCGAAGGGGGAGGATGGAGAAGCTCTGAGAGAATACTCCGAGCTGGTGCTACACCTCACGAAGGATAAGGTCAACAATCGGTGAGATGTCTAGCCCAGGTAACCACAATCCTCTCCTAATGGGCCTTTCATTGGTGCTTTTGGGAGGGCAAATCTGTAACGCTGCCAAAGGTTCAGACTCGATATTCAACGCCAACCGTAAACTTGGTTAAACGGTTGCAGTTGTCCGGTATTAAAGCAGGTCACCGGCGCTATGACGTCTAAGACGAGGGAACAAAGCGGTGATTCGTGACTTTGTCACGTCTTCCATTATCGGCTCTTCTTCTTCTAGAAGAACCCCTGGATCGTCTCTGTATTTGTGCGCCCCCAAATGACGTTTCAGTCTCCATCTGGATTCTGATTTTCGGAGTTTGACCTCATCGCTTTGGGTCCAGTCAACCCTATGCTCCGCGATCTCTGCTTCGGTCAGTCCCTCATGATGGGGATTCTCATGCTTTTCTGCATGTGGCGCTGAAGCCACCCTCTCCATGGTCATCCCTGCAGCACCCTCCTCGTCGCTTTCCAGGCTCTTCGGCGAAGAATCCGTTTCAAAAAGAGTTTGTTGAACCGGATGGATTGCATTTTCATTAATTCCCACAGTTGGTAGCAGGGTTGAGGGATGCTGAAATTGATTGCGTTGATATTGCTTTTCCCTTTTTCGCTGTGCTTTTTTCAATGTTTTTGCTGCCTCGTAAGGGGCTATGGTGTGCGACTCGTCCTGAAATCCCGTATCTGCATTAACACCACCCATATGATACTTCAAGGCCATCTTGGAGAGCCTGTGAACCAGACCCTTTTCGCTAGGGGGATCGATGGTGGTCGTTCTTGCAAACTGTAGCGCCGCTACTTGTGGAATGTGCCTATACGTTGACGGGCATCCATCATCTCCATTTCGTACGCCGGATGCATGGTTCATGCAACTTGCGTTGAACCCTGCCCCCGTGTTATCGAGTGTTGATTCGTCTTGGCACTGGTCTGGAACAGATTTCACCCCAACGTGGGCGAATAGGGATCTTCTCTTGTCGGACTGCGGAAACTCATGTGCGAGGTCGTAATGTTTCTTCTCTGCCCTTCGTTCCTTCGATCTTTGGGTTGTAGCCTTATGTTCCGTTTCTATTCTTGCGATTTTCGCTTGCTCGGACATTACTCTCTGTTCTGCCTGGATGATTGTCAACTTCCTCGACAACTCCTCCGGGTCAAAGGGCGAGGAGGACGGGTGCCGATGCTTGTGAGGTTGTTTCTTTTGGTTGACAGGGGCTGGTGCGGCCCCGGTGGCCTTGACCTCTGGCGCGAAGGTCATCACGACTATTTCAGATACCCAGGAGCCGCTGGAATTGGCGAAACGGCCCCCATTGATTCTTGGGGGTTGGGTCGGCTGGGGTGCGGTAACGGAGACGGTCTGGAAATGCTGGGTTGGCAAAGCGCTTTTTGGGCGCCTTTAGCTGCGTCTTTTGTGGCAAAACAACGGACTGAGGACGATAGACGCTGGAGGAAGGGACGCTATGAACTGTATCGACACACTCGACAAGTTGTCATGGACTACAGTGTGAGGTAGCTTGAGGGTCCGAGGTGCAACTCTACCGCCCACCGGTTGGAGAGGGGTTTTGGTGCGGCAAGGATTATGATGCCACATTGAGATGGCCAGACGAGACACATGCTCCCTTGGTGGATTCAGACATGTCACATTGAGCACTGTTGTGTTCCATGGTGTTATATTGAATATATTTGCTCTAGCTGGGGAAACTTTGAACCGGCCTCGTCCCTACTAACCCCGCAAAGTGCAAACTGAAGCTCTCGTTCTGCCCCGTGTGGTGCCGAGGCCTGCCTGTCGCTGAGTAAATTTACTTACCATCCTCATGCCGGCGACGTCACAGAGAGGATGTCTGGGGTTGCGCTCCATGAAACTGGGTGTGGGGTCACGGGATCCTGTCTTGCCACTCCAGAAGAGGAGGTCCAACCTGTTCATCAAGGCGGGATGGGTTGACGTTGTAAATAAAATGGAGCAGGCTTGATGCGATCCGTATTCTCTCCCGCAATCTGGGTATTGGCCCAGTCTGCAGGAATGTGGGAACCTCTGGCCTTTTTTCTCCCTTCTTTTTTCCTTTTTCCTTTTCCCTTCTTTTCTGACACAGTACCGAGGATTGGTGGTCCCATTGCCAGTGCTACGCTCAGGGCAACTGATCCTAGGCAATGTCTTAGATCTCGCCTTGAGGATCAGTGAATAAACAATGGACATTCATATAGTGCTAACACCTAACCCTACTGGCAATAATTGGCGGCGTCGGCGTGATTTTGCTAAATCCTCAGGCTAGGTAGGTCCTATTGTTGTCTGTGGTGGTACGTATCATTATACTCCTCCTACCTGAGCTAAGCAGTGTCGCACACTGAGACCTTTTTTTGTCTCGATAATCGATCAAAGCGGAGGTCCATGCGTGCCGTATAGTATCCGGGCGTCTCCTAGCCCCTCAGTCAATACCTAGCTGCGTCTTCTGTCGGGAAAATTGGGCCAACACTATGGTCGATCACGTCGGCTCGAGCGAGCGCACGGGATGATGGTGTGCTGCCATTGTGCATCATTCGACGGCAATGGCGGGCGATTGCGATCGCAAAGGGTGGATGCGCCTGTGACCGGGCAGATGCGTTAAGGGGTTTCGGTTGGCCGACACAGAGTTTGAGACGGCGAACCACCTTCGATCAAGAGGCTTGCTGGACAATAAGCAGCCCGAATGAATCCTGGCCCAGGGTCCTGTTGGGCAGTTGGTTAATTTACCGCTCCACCCTCGTCCACCTAAAACGACTTCCTCACCAACGTGCCTGTTTGACCGGGGACAACAGCGATTATTGGGTGCTGGGGAGCGGTACCACAGCACGAGCACATGTACTCAGTTAGTTAGATGCCAGCCGCACGCACGCTCTCCCCTCAGACCAGCTGAGGTCCATGACTTTATTAACCTGTCCGGCGGCTGCTCTCGACCTGGCTTCCTGCTGCTCTCCTCCTCACCCTCAGTCCATCCGTGTCTGCCTTGCCCTCCTTCGCCTCCTCTCCCGTCTGCTTCTAGATACTCAATCGAAGCCCTCCTCCCTAGCCCCCGCCCCCTCCTGGTGGTTTTGTGGGCGACACAGTTACAAGCTACCAGTCGGCGCGCGCCACTATCGATTAATTACCAGTCCAGTAACCCTCCTGGGTCCCGTCGCCGCGGCGCCGGAAGGGCACAGCTGGTCCCCCGGCCTGACCTTGCAAAGGACCTTGCCATCCTGCCCTCAGAACCTGCAGCTTGGTATTGTCCCTTGTCATCCCATTCCTCCTTCCAGCGAAGTGCAGCGAGCTACCCGTCCACGGCCGCCTTCTAACGTGTTTCGCCTGTCCTGTTCTGGCCCGGGCTCTGTGATACCTACCTATGTAAGTCACCGACGAACAAATCATCCCCGTCTTCAAGAATGGATGCAGTGGGCCGGCGAGCAGGCAGGCCACGAATTGACTGGCTGGGTCTGGCTGTCGTTCGTTCCTAGCTCCTTGGCCTAAGGTGGTAGTACTGTGTCCCAAAATGCCAGCCAGAGTTGTATGTCTCCATCTGCGTGGGCATGCAGGTGGCATGGCATGTTCCTAAAACCAACGCCTGGTGCATACCCTCCCTGACTGCCTGCCCTCGTTATCGTTCTGGCTAAAGGGGTTTGTCAATTATCCCTCTGCTACCCAGCTGGCTGCGCCGTCCCAGTCCTGTCCCAGTCCCCGTCCAGATCCATCACCTCATTGTCCTGTCTTTGCCTGCCCGGCTGCATGCTTCTGGTCTGCCTCATACCTTCCATGTGATTCCCTTCATTTGGCCAGTCGCCAGGCTGTGACAATGCCCTCTCCTCGTGGTAGTTCGCGACATGCTCACCAAGTCTCGAGCAGCCTTCATTCGCGACCCGTCGACCGTGGCCAGACTCCGACGCCGACCCAAGAGTCTCGGCGGCATCATCCAGCTCCCTCGAAGCCCAGCCAGCCTTCCGGCACCCAAGGCTACCATCTCCGCAAACCCTCGACCGCAGATCTCTCTTCCCTAGCCTCCGGAAACCGAGATTCCTTTGCCTCCATCCTCGACGATCCCTTCTTCAACAACTACAAGTCAATTGTCTATCCAGAAACCGCCGCCGAGTCCTCCGGCCAACCCGCTGCTGCGAAACCCGCCGCCGGATGCGATGAGAGGGCGAACCAGCCGCTTTGGCCCCCTCCTGCTCGCCGCGAGTCGTTAAGTGCTGGCCCCTCCCGCTACCAGGTATGTCCATGCTCACCACCATGCCCCACCCCATGAACCAGCTCAGCGCCAGCGGGGCAGGGGTCAATCCAATGGGCTGAAATTGGCTGCGCTATCGCCATTACCCATTGTTGTTGTCCCCATTCCTTCCCTGAGAGTCGTTGTCGTTGGCATGGAATTGACTGTCATCTCGTTCCAGCAAATCGACCCCCCGCCCTCCGCCATGGAGACCTTCAACATCGCCGTCATCGGCTCCGAAGGCGTCGGCAAGTCCTCCTTCGTCCAACGGGTCCTCAACCTCCCGCGACCACCCATCACCAATGCGTCGACCGTCCGCATGCCAATTGATAATGTGATGCACATGGTCATGCTGCTCGAGCTCGACCTCGAGCACTTTGCATTGGACCCCGAGCTCCCCATCCAATGGCCGAAACAGATCAATGGGCACATAATGCCGCGAGTCGACGCCGCTTTAATTCTGTACGATGTAATGAACCGGGCATCTGTGGCTGAGCTGCCTCAAACAATGGGTACGTCATAGCCAACGACAGCAACAGGGAAAGCTCAAGCTAACCCCAGACTTCCAAAGCTGCTTTGACCAACTCGGGCCTTCCTGCGATTCTTGTTGCCACCAAGTGCGAAAATCCCAAGGAAGAGTGGGAGGTTATCCCCGACATAATCACAGGCAGCAAGTTTTACCAGTCCTGCCTCGCATCATACAAGCTCTCCAGCGAGAATCCCGAAATCGCCCGCACCTGCCTGCAGGCAATCCTCAAGGCCGCCATTATTCACCGAAGAGGTAAGAGCTGTTTGGGTTGGATTGGTCAGGGACGTTGGTAGGCTCACACTGAAATGTAGAAGAAAACGGCGAAACAGTATCCCGAAGGCGTGCCCAATCGAACCTCGAAATGCCCGATACCTCGTCTACCCGCTCTACCGGTGAACAGAACAAGCACAGTCGAGCCAGCTCCGACCTTTCTTTATTGCGTGGCTTTGCCAACCTTCCGATCAACGAACGTGGCCAAGCCTCCAAAAGCCCCCGGCTCGGCAAGCCTGGAGAATCCGACATTCAAACACAGCAGTCGTACAACAGCATGCTACGGACCTCTTCTGGCATCCGCCTAGACAGGCCAGGCACTGAGTCTTCACAGGATATTGACGAATCCGATGCCGAGTCACGGAGATATTCAGACGATGTTCCCATCCTACAAAGAAACGACGAAACCGGTGGCGGCACGGCGAAAATCGTCGGAGCTTCCTTCGACGAGCTAGTTGACCGACTTCTCGCCCCCCGAATTTCGAAAAACGACAGTAACTTCTCAGATATTTTCCTCTGCCTCTACCGCAAGTTTGCCGCGCCCGGCGAGCTTTTCTCAGCCATTCTCACCCGGCTTGACGACGTCCGTGATGACAAAACATCACACTACCTGACCAAGACTGCTACCCAATTACGGATGATCGAAGTCGTAGCAAGATGGGTATCATTGTATCCTGGCGATTTTGCCCGACCAACCACCCGCCGAAATTTAGAGGAGTTCATCAAGCATCTTTCGACGGAACCCATCTTCTCAATCTCAGCACAACAAATTCGTCGCAACCTACACTTCAATGTGACTGAGGATGACGACACTGGATGGGCAAACACGGATGAAGATGGAGACAAGGCTGCCAGTGACCTGTTAAAAAGGGGCTCCGACAAGCTGGGTCAAAGCTTGGGTGGATTGGGGATTGAGGATGAAGAAGGGGACGACATGCCATCTCGAAGCTCTGACAATTCATTCGGTGACAGGGGCAGTGTAGGGAGCCAATTCCAATTCCATTGGTATGACGAGTATGAAAGAGAAGCATCAACGCTTGAGCCCTCGAGCCACTTACCGATGAACAAATTCCGCTACCACATCTTCATGGATATTCCGGACGAGGAGATAGCTGACGAGCTTACCCGTATTGATTGGGTAATGTTCTCGTCGATTCGAGTTCGGGACTTTGTTCGCCATGTCAGCTTATCCACGGCAGAGAAGGGCAAATGCCGGAGCCTCCAGAACGTGAACCGCATGATCGCACACTTCAACCATGTTGCTCAATGGGTCGCCAATCTAATCCTACTAAGGGACAAGGCCAAACACCGGGCACAGATGATGGAGAAGTTCATGAATATTGCCCTCAAGCTTCGACAAATGAACAATTACAACGGACTCGCGGCAGTTCTCGCTGGCATCAACGGAACATCAATTCATCGCCTAGCCCAGACCAGAGCCCTGGTCCCCCCGGAGGTCCAAAAACGCTTCGCCCGACTCGTAATTCTAATGGGCACGCAAAAGAGTCATTTCGCCTACCGGCTTGCTTGGGAGAATTCACCACTTCCCCGCATCCCCTTTATTCCATTGCATCGCCGCGATCTCGTGTCGGCCGAGGAAGGAAGCAAGACCTTTGTTGGCCCGAAAGGCGACCGTATCAACTGGAAGAAGTTTGAGGTTCTTGGAGAGGTCCTCCTTCCCATTATGAAGAGTCAAGGCACCCCCTACCCTGGCTTATCAAAGCACGACAACATTAAGGACATGATCTTAGGATGCCGTATGCCCACAGATGACGAGGTGAGTTTGTTCTATCCTAATACAATGCTGTCTGGGTGCGACACGTTTAGCTAACAGTTCTCCCTACGTAGGAAATATACCAGCGGAGCATACAGGTTGAAACCGGAGTGGGAGGACCAGCGGAGCAAGCTAGAAAGAAATCATTCCCATGGTTTATGAAGTAGTAAACAAGAACCACTGGCTGGATTCTACTACAAAGACAACGAAATCGGTGCGATTTTAGAATATTCCTGTGTGTGCATTTTGATTAGCGGCAGCATGGTACGGGCAATACGGTTTTCTCGTTCACATTTAAGGGAGGGGCTAAACCCAGGTTGCTTTGATTCCAATTGAGTATTTTGAGCGTCGTCACTTTTCTGCACAAGCAGCCATCTTCTCCTAACTTGAATGTCCTCAATAATGGGAGAGGTTTATGGAGTTAGAGCCTCGTTTCGTCTTGTCCCTTTTATGTTTGTGCATGGTGTTATCCGCGTTGGATGTTAGATGGGCGGAATCAGGTATCTAGGTAGAGTACCTATTGGTAGTGTGGAAGACAATTCTACCCGTATGTAGCATTTATTCCCAGGCGAATGGAACAGGTGTTAAATCCTACGCAGAAATTTGTATGGGGTGTTGGGCTTTACAGTGTGTCCAGTGCAAGCGCGAGTCACATCTCGTTCCCTCCTTCCCACTGACAAGAGCTCCCAATGCCTCAGGCGCCTGCAAGTCCTAAGTATCCTCCTCCATCCCCCGGTACCTTCCAGTTATCGTGGAATTTAATGTACAGACCCGTCCAAACGTTGATCTATATTTTGTATTTTCGTTGCTCTAAATACACATGACGGCTTCTCTCTTATGCCGGAAACCACGATCGAGAATCCGAGGCTCCGCCTCAAGAGCAAATCTAACCAATCGCAATTAGAAATCAGATCCTCGCTCCGGCTCGTCCTACCAAGAGAACTCCAGGCCATAGAGTCCAGCGAGGAGCTCCTGCGACTGGTTTCGTCAGGGGAGTTGTGGATTGCCCGGGTGGGATCGTGCAATTTGACGGTAGAGGTTACCACCCTTGGAGATGCTCTATCCAGAGCTGAAACTACTGTGGTAGAAGATTGGATATCCGACCACCAGGTGGCTCTTCCCGATAATTTTTGAATACCTAAAATCTTCAAATTCTAACCATACCTTTAGCTCTGGAAGCAACTTGGCATTCGATTGATATCATTGGGCGACGAGACGGCTCTTCCTGCCAACGAAATTGGACTGTCTATTCAGCACCCTGATTTGACTTCGGCTCTTGTGGCATCAACAAAGACCTTAGTTGCAGAATTCGTCTCTGCGAGATGTGCGATTGACTTGTCGGTAACCCAGGCATCCAGCACGGTTCATAAAAGACCGCGCCCACCTGTTCAGAAACCACCGGACGAAGCCACGTCGAACAACCGCCGTGGTATACACCAGGATGTTGATATAGACGACCAGAGGGCGGTATATGAGTTTGTCGCCAATCTTCATGAGTGCGAGGAGCGGGATCGTCAGCCGAACAGGTCGAAAAGAAGACGGGTCTCTGAAACCCAACATCCCATTGAAAAAATTGGGCTTCACAAGAATGCCATTGATACTGCTATACGTGTTATCCTGTTCGGGTCAAATAGCACTGGCAACAGCTACAGGCCATTAGAGCAAGTATCAGCCCCTGGGTTGTCGCAGCTAGCACCTGGCGTGTTCAACGTTCCATACACAGAGGTAATCCATCCCCCACAACAAAGTGCTCTCGAAGCTAATCAAATCCTTAAGATTGTCTCTAAGAGGGAAAATCTGTGTACCACTATTAGTTCTTCATTGGCAAGAATGGCAGGGGCAGAGTCGCCTAGTCTAAGGCGTAAGATCGATAAGCTCAAGATATCAGCAACTGCAATCGCAATTGACGTTCCGCCAAAACTAGACATAATCCAGGGCATAGAGAGGAGTGTCTTGGAGATCATTTTAAAGTCTTCTAAATCTCCCTCAAGAGGGAAGAGAAAAGCCAATGGTCAATCTGACCGGTATGACCTTGTTGAACAACAGTCGAATCTAGTGGATAATGCGTCAGCTTCCCCAATCGGACGCTCTTCACCCCTAGTCATGGAAATATGTGACGATATACCGACCACCACGTCAGATGAAAGGGTAGTTTCAGATACGCTGGATACTTCTGTGTCCAATCGAGCCTCGAGTTCGGACTTGACGTTGGAGGTTTCTCATATACATGAATACTTTAGCAGCTTGTCCCAAACTCTGTGGTATGAGCCGGCATTGCCTTCTGATTCCCAGCCACTACAAATCTTTAGAAATGAATGATCTCATTGAAAAGCGCATCATTGCAATGGTCCGCCATCCCAGCTAGTTGAATTGATCTCGAGTTGGTTTAGAAGTACTGAGAAGGAATTGTGGAGATGTAGTGTGATTTCAAGATCAAAGGGGAATCTAGATAAACCGACCGACTAGACGAAAATAGAAACATAGAAAGACTATCAAAATCAAAGTTCCAAGTCATGTTCCTCATCCAAGTCGAACAAGCATCAACTGATTGTTGATGGTATCTTTGGTGGTGTTATTCAAGGCCCACAAGGCGATGAGTGACTAAGCGTCATCAGCCAATCAGATACTCACTCACCTCTGCACCGCAGTCAAGGCCAATGTCTAAAAAAATCTCCAGTCGCAGCTGTTCAAAGACGTCGGCATCGCACGATATCTCGCAACGTCCAAGCTAGGAGGTTGCAGCTTGCAATACCACAGGCCATGAGCGTAGCACGGCCGACCCGAAGCCTGCTAGGCAAGTACATCTCCTCCGCCGCCGCTCAATCGCGAAGCCCAGCCTCGACTGTCGTCTGCCGCCAATTCCACAGTTCCGCCCCGTGTCAGAAGAAGCGACGCTCCCAGTTCCGCAATGTCAAAGCCGAGGAGTTGGGGCTTCTCAAGCCCGACGCAATGGAAAAATACCAGAAGGAGCATCTGCCCGACTACACCCCGGAGGAATTGGAGCTCCTGAGACAGAAGTACACGCCCGAGCAGATGGAAGCCCTGGAAGCTGCCGAGCAGGCTGTCAACCCTGGAGATATCGCCATTCAAGGTCGTCTGCGCGACGACCTGTTCCGCCCCAAATACATTGAAGATTTCACCGTCATGGACCCTCGATACGACCTCAAGCCAGACCTCAAGGGCACACTCAGGGAGCACAAATGGGACGACAACGACGAGCGCTTCGAGGAGGAGTTCCTGGACAAGTTCAGCAAAGTTATGGAGAAGGGGACCACTAACCAGCTCACTCGTGCCATGATTCGTGCTCTCCGCCGGGTCAAGACAAGCCAGGGCCGGGACATGATCGACCTCACCGAGGCAGAGCTGAACGACATGGAGAAGGACCCCTCGCTACTCGAGAAGTACTTGGTTAAGCCTGATGAGCGCGAGCCCAAGTACAAGGAAAAAGAGACCGAGTCCGACGACTTCATAACCAGGGCTCAGGCTCTGAAGCTCGATGAGATGGTGGAGGACGCTTGGAAGAAGGAGCTCAACCTGCTGGCCAACTCAAAACACACCGAACTGAAACCCAGCACTTTCGAGCTCGAGGAGGACGGTCCCACCGGTCCAATCCGCCTCCACACAGCGGAAGCTGTCGAGCTCGGCAAGGTCCCTGGTGTGGCTGGTCTCTACAAGACGTCGGCGGACGAGGACGAGGGGAAGGACGACATGGGTCAGTACACCGAGCTCAAGCAGCTCACCGGAATGACGCTGTCGGAACTCAAGTCCATCTACACCAAAACCCTTGTCGTCAGACACGTACACAACCAGACCCGTCTGGGCAAGATCCGTAGCATCTCCGCCATGGTGATCGCCGGTAACGGCAACGGACGCCTGGGACTCGGTGTCGGCAAATCAACCCAGATGGATGTCGCCATCAACACAGCGACCATGCTCGCAATCAGAAATATGAAGCCCCTGCGGCGATACGAGAACCGGACAATCTACGGAAACATCACGTCCAAGGTCTCGGGAACCGTCGTCGAGCTGTCTGCTCGTCCTCCTGGTACGTAACCGCCCTCCTCCCCCATTTCCTCACTCCTGTACCTTTCCCAGAAAGCGAATACTAACCACATAAACAGGCTTCGGTCTCCGCGTCCCCTCGCGTCTCTTCGAGATGTGCCGTGCCGCTGGCCTGCACGATCTGGCCGTCCACATGCCCCGGTCCAAGAACCCCATGAACACGGTCAAGGCCACCTACAACGCCCTAATGAACCAGCCCGACCCTGAGGAGATTGCCATCGGCCGAGGCAAGAAGCTCGTCGATGCCAGAAAGGTGTACTATGGCGGCGCCGTGCTATAGAGAGGAGGGGGCGTCAGGGACGCTGTACGCACTGCTGTATATCAAGACATGCTTCTTTATATGTAAAAGATAGTTTCTTGTTGCGCAGGAAATCTTCGGATTCCGCGAAACGTGTAATATCACAATGAATAAACCACCAATAAAGAAACAAAACACACAGAGCAAGACATGTCTGCTATGAAATCAAATCCATTTCGCATGTCTTGGGTCTCAGTTAAAGATCATATCATCGTAAAGAGTCCCTCAAATGAAAACACCCCATCCGCTCTCCCCCCATACGCGTTGCGTTTTGCACAAAGAACCTTTCCCCCCATAAGGGAAATCAGTACTGCCCAGCGGGCGCCCCATCGCCCCAATCAATCTCCTGCTGCAAGACTATGCTGTAGACGCTGGCCTTGAGCAGCGTGAAGGCCAGGCTGGTCTTGCGCTCCAGGTCCCGCAGGCCGTCCAGGATCTCAGCGCTGGGGTTCGAGGCGAGGTGCTCGAGCGTGGAGGCAAGCTGCGGCCAGCCGAAACCGAGCGGGAAAAAGTCAGCTTCCAACGGCGTCTTTCAAAGGAGGGCAAAATGCATCCATATATTGCTTTTTCCAAGGGCGAGACTGACCTTCTTCATGTTCTCGGCCAGTCGCTCATACTCGTCGAGCACCTCCTGCTCGAGAGGCGTGAGCTCTGGGGGGGAGAGTAGATTTGGCGGGCCTTGATCCATTGCGATCTGTGAAGCGCGGCGCGTGAAGTGAATGGGAATAGATTTATTAGTGGTGAGCCGCGAAAGTTAGTGGTGACTGTAACAAACAAACACTGGTTCTGTGGTGGGGCCGGCCATCGCCTTTTGTCCTGCTGAGTCCGCACTGACAGACCATCTTCATCTGCCCAGTGAAAGGACTGCCCATCAAAACATCACATCCTCCAGACAGTTGGTATTTCATTTGAAATGAGAAGTCATGTAATTATTACTTAAACTGCCTAACACCATCCAAACAGCGCCAAAAGCATAACCCATACATCAATCATCTACCATGTACACATGTACGCCTTGACACAACAAGATATACTAAGAAAACACCCATTCCGTCCTGATTCCCTTATGCTACCATCTCGCTTCCTTCAGCGTTGGTCCCGGCAACTGAACTTTCAGTCCATTCGCCCGCCGTGTCGTCGTACTCGCCGTGGCCAGCCGCCTCCGACTCGGTATGCTGCCCCGTACCTCCCGTCATGACCGGAGTGCCTCGACTATTGCGACGGAGTGTGCCTGTGTCACTCTGATCGTCGCCCAAGAGGTCATCTCCATTCTCGTCCACCCTTTCATCAATAACAGCCGGGGTCTCATTTTCATCAACTTCCTCAACCGTCTCCCTGACACTCATGTTCTCCTTGTCTGTGTCGCCGAGACCCATATCACCACCCCAGCTTCGTTTCCGATATGCTTTACTACTGGCTGGAGTCCTGACACTCTGGCTTCTCTTCACCCCACCAGAAGCCACGTTGTTGGTGATCTGGCCAAGTGAGGCGATTCTTCTCGCAACACCACCTTGCCCGGGAGGGGCCAGGTTACGCTTGCCAGAAAGGGCCATGTTCATCACAGGTCTAGGTGAAGCCTTTGGCGTCGTCGCGTCTTCAGCAACAACAGCGGTCTTCTTAACCCGCTTGCGGTTCATAGAATCGCCACTGCTTTTGGTAGCTTTAGACATGATCAACACACGAGAGTGGTCCATCACGCCCTCGAGGATTCGGCGCTCCAACTTCTCGGCCCGTGCCTCCATCTCAGACAGATCTTCTTTGCGAAGGCGCATTGCCGTCTCCAGTGAGGATACATCTCCGGTGAGGCGGGTTTTCTGGCGAATCAAGCTCTCCTGTTCGGTTCTCAAGCTCATGATGCTGCCACGGAGTCTCTCCTCTTCATCTCTGAGGCTTGCGATGGCCGCATCCAGGTGATCCTTCTCCGCCCGCCTTCGGGCAACTGAGGTCATCAAGTCCTGAAGAGTCTTCTCCTTTTCCTCGTGGTCATCGGCGATGCGTTGAGTTTGTGATGACAAGAAACTGGAGATATCCGCAGCTGTCTTCACAACGGATTGATGCACCTTGTCTAGAGTCTGCAGCTGAACGAGGGCCTCCTCAGTTGAGTTGCTGTAATCGACGAGCTTGTCGAGTTTCTCGTGCACAACCTTGTCATCGTATTTCTCCTCAGATAGCTTATCGAGCTTCTCACGGACCTCGGTGTCATCGTACCTCATCAACACCAAGGTATCGAGCTTCTCATGAATCTCAGTATCATCGTACTTGACATCCGCCAACTTGTCGAGCTTCCCATGAACTTCACTGTCGTCATACTTGAGCTGTTGCAGCGCTTCCAGCTTTTCGCGGAGTCCAGTGTCGTCATACTTGAGACCTTCAAGTATCTCTCGGAGCCCAGCATCATCATACTTAAGTTCTTCAAGTTTCTCTCGAAGTCCTGTATCATCATACCTCAGCTCTTCAAGCTTCACTCGAAGATCAGCATCATCGTACTTGATCTCTTCAAGCTTCTCCTTAAGTCCAGTATCGTCGTACTTGAGTTCTTCAAGCTTCTCTCGAAGGCCAGTGTCATCGTACTTCAGCTCTTCAAGCTTCTCTCGGAGACCAGTATCGTCGTACTTGATCTCTTCAAGCTTCTCTTTGAGTCCAGTATCGTCGTACTTGAGTTCTTCAAGTTTTTCGCGAAGTCCAGTGTCGTCATACTTCAACTCTTCCAGCTTCTCTCGAAGTTCTGTATCGTCGTACTTCAATTCCGAGAGTTTTTCAATCATGTGCCGAAGGCCGCTATCATCATACTTCAACTCAACCAAGCCGTCAAGCTTCTGTTGAATTTGGGTATCATCAAACTTTTCAGGCGGTGGCAGAAGCAACATGTCTGACTTGGCTTCGATGATCTTGTCTTGAATACCAGTTGTGGATGTCTTGGAGTGCTCAAAGTGCTCATGAACCAACTCAAGAAGAGCTTGAATTGCTTCCATGACCTTTGGCTGAGTCTCCTTGAAGTCGCTCTGTATATCTTCAACTACTGTAACAGCTTGCTGAAGTTGGTCTCGAGTCTGCTGGTGCTCGGACTTATCCTCTATATGGTTCTCGTCATTTCGGGTAACGAGCTCCTCGACTTTGCCGAAAACGGTCTGGGACGCCTCTTCCATCTTATCCACCGACTCGGTTACAGAAGCACCAAGGGTGTCAATGAGAAGCTTGAGCTCTTCAGCGACTGTCTTGGTATCCACGACTGCAGCTTCGGTAACGATGTCTCGAGCTTCGGCGGTTTTGTTTCTTTCATCCAGCACGGTTTGAAATTCATCGTACTTGGCGATTAACTCTCCCATCTTCTCGTCTATCTTGATACCAAGACTGTCTCGGGCTTCCTGGAGCTTCTCGTCAGACTCCAGCTTAGCTCCAGCAAGGATGGTTTTGGAGTCCTCAAATTCAGCCTTCATAGTATCGAACATCTCTTTCAGGTCAGTGGAGACATTCTCAGACTTGTCGACCTTCTCGCCCATTCCCTCAAGAAGTTTGCCCAGAGCCTCGACGCCCGTAGCTTCATCGTCGAGCTTTGTCTTGAGAACCTCCTGGAATTCCTCGAGGAACACCTTGACTTCGGCAACTTTCTCGCTTACACCATTGATCTCCTCTTGCCGCTTTTCCAGAGCTTCCTTCGTGGAATCAGTGTGGGTATCAAGTTTCTCCTTGGCTTCACTAAGAATGATCTCAAGATTCGTCAAATCTTCTTTCTTCGAAATATCGGCCAGGTCATCCTTCTTTGCGAAATCAGCAAGATCCTCTTTCTTCGCGAGGTCTACAAGATCTTCTGTCTTCGCGACGTCGGCAAGATCTTCTTTCCTCGCAAGGTTTGCAAGATCTTCCTTCTTAGTCAGTTCAGAAAGATCTTCCTTTTTAGTGATGTCCGCGAGATCATCCTTCCTGGCAAGCTCAGCAAGATCCTCCTTTTTAACGAAGTCGACGAAATCTTCTTTCTTTGGTAATTCTCCATCAAGAATATTCTTCATCTCAAGGACAACAGTCTCGACAGCCTCGATATCGGTCTTTGTCACCTTCTCAGGATCTTCCTTTTGATCTTCCTCGTCCTTGATGATCTTCTCTCTAAGTTCCTCAAAGCCAAGCCTGACCTCAGTAACCAGAGTTTCCATGTTGGAGAGATCTTCTTTGCGAGTGATGGCGTCCATGTCGGCGCCCATAAGTCGCATGCTTTCACGAGTTTCCAGGGTCAGGGTCTCGATGGCATCCAAGTGCTCCTTCCGGATAGCCTGTTCACCATCAATCAAGTCATCCAAACGAGCCTTGGTATTGCGCAAGATGGTTTCGATAGCTTCAACATCCTCCTTGGAAGCAATATCACCACTTGGTGGTGCTACAGTAGCCTCGGCATCGACAGATCGGGGCACCGATGCCTCAGCCGCAGCCACAGGTGCGGGAGCAGGCGCAGGTACAGGTACAGGAACAGGAACAGGCATCTCACGAGATCCAAGCTCCTCCACCTGCCTCTGCATATTTCCAAGCATCTCTTCGAGGCGGGAGAAGTCCTCCTTGTGGTCACTTGCGGGCTCAGGTTCCATTGCTTCAACCTTGATCCGGAGTTGGGTAATAAGAACCTCAAGGTTCTTAATGTCGTCCTGCTTGACCATGTCTACAGGGATGATGGCTTGCTCGTCGATATCAGTAGGTCTTCCCACGGCTGCGACCGCTCTGTCGTTACTGCCCTCTCGAATACTATCGATGTCGGACCTAACAGAGTCCAGTCCCGACTTGAGTGCTTCCAAAATTTCATCGTTGGCAGTCAAATCCGCAGGCTTGTTGCTCATCCTGTCAATACCGGCGCGGATGTCGTTCAATCCTTCGTTGAGGGCATCGATGATTTCGGTCGTTTCATTTCGTGGGCGTAAAATCTCTTGCCGAATACTATTAACGGCTGTATGCAGAGCCTCAAGGACCTCCTTATTATTTCCCTGCTGTGGTGTCGCAGGGACCATGGACGAATTTACGATCTCACGAAGTCCCTCAAGCTCTGTTTGCAGCTGTTCCCTAGACGAGTCGGATGATCGGGTCATGAAGGTAGAGAGTTCTTCCTTGAAGGAGTCCATGGATCTCATCAGCTCCTGGTTGAATTCATCCTGACCAGGTAGCTCCCGAGGAGCATCCTGCGCAGACTGCGATACAAGAACTGCAATGTCCTCCTTGAAAGTGTCCATTGATCTCAGCAGTTCGTGTTTTAGGTCGTCGTCTTGGTCCGTTACTCGGCTTGATGCTTCCATAGACTGGGACACGAGAACGGCAATGTCCTCCTTGAACGTTTCCATGGAGTTGAGAATTTCATGCTTAAGATCGTCGTGATCATCATGGCCTGCCACACGATCGACATAACTCTCAATGGCGATTCTCAAGTTCTCGAGGCCGTCTTTGGTTGCATCAAGAACCTGCTCGGTATCACGACCATTGGCAGCAACGTTGTCCTTGGCTTCTTGAGAAACAGCCTTGAACTCCAACTTGAGATATCCGATCATGTCTTCGAGCCTCGAAAGAAGTTCATTGTTGTTGGAATGAGGAACCACCGCCCCAACCTTAGGAAGATCAAAGTCACTAAGCCCTTCTCTAACAGCATAGACCATATCCTCCCGGCTGAGATCATTGCCCACGGCTGATGGTGCAATTGGGAATTCAAACTCTTCCAGGCAGTCTCGGACAGCTTCGATAATCTCATCGCGAGACAAGCTAGCAGGCGTGTCCATTTGAGGGGGGACAAAGTGCTGGAGACCTTCAACAACTGCCTTGAACACCTCTTCCCGAATAGCGCCTACCGGTCGTTCATCTCGAGGCGCATACTCCCGGAGTCCTTCTTGAAGGCAGGCAAGAACTTCATCGCGTTCAAGACCTATCTGCTCAACTTCAATCTCTGGTTTATAGGTCTCCCAGGCATCTCTGACAGCCTCAATCACGTCATCTCTGCTAAGATCGGGGATGTCGTGGCGCGAGGCCTCGTTGTCTTTGAGAGCGGTTCGCATGGCGTTATAAATCTCGTTGTAGTCAACCAGAGTCTTAGCTGTTGCGGCGGACTGAGCAGATTGACGGCGATGCTCACGCAGAACGTGATTGAGTTGATCCTTCATCTGCTCCAGACCTTCGTCGATGACACGGGAGACCTCGTCCTTGCTTGGGGGCTCCGTATCCTCGATTCCCTTTTGGCTCACCTGCTCAAGGCGCTTGCCGATTTCACGGCCCATGCCCAAAACCTCACCTCGCAATTCTCGTACAAGGGCCTTGACCTCGGCTGTGAGGCCACCGCCTTGAGCAACGCTATCTTTGACAGATCGAATAATCTTGATCAAATCTTCGTTTAGAAGATCCCGCCCAGCTGGCGCGGAGTGTCCGCGTACCTCACCGTTGTGAAGAATCTGGTCAAGTCGCTGGGAAACGATGCCGTGGTTTCTAGGCTTATCAGCACTCACGTTGCTCTCTTCGCCGCTGCTGAGGTTGCGGCCACGGCTGGCCACGGATCGATTGTCGTGAATAACGGCGCTCTCTGACTGATGACGAACTTGTTCAAGGAGCTCATCTACCTTGGTAGCCGTGGCCATGCCGCTGATAAGGTGCGAAACCTCCGTTAATCGACTAATCAGAGCATCTTGTCCTTCCTTTGTGCCCATATCGCGTATGATTTTCTCCAAGAGGGCGATAGACGTTGTGCTGTCGCCACCAGCCAGTGATGGTGTGCTAATGGACGCTCTTTCAAAGGAGTCGGAAAAGCTTTTAGGTGATGGAATTCGGGGAAGCTGGAATCGGCCAGGCGAATTATCATGAGGCTTATTGTCAAGGAACAGGCCTCCAAAATGATTCGAGGTTAGTCTGGAAGATGTCTCGCTAACTCCACTCAGTAGATCTTTGAGGCTCTTCCTGATGTCCTCGTCTCTGTTGTTAGTAGCTTCCTTGAGACTGAGGAGATCGGTAGCATTGTCTCTGCTTCGCCTGCTCAACTGAGCCATCTCCTTCTGCAGGGATGTAGCGATATTGGTGAGACTGAGCATCTGCTCTGAGATTTGATCAAGCGACTGGGAGCCATCGGCGGGAGGAAACGCGCCATTGGTGATGTTAGAGATGCGAGGTTCAGCCTCCTTCAATGGGGGGGGAGAGCCCATGTTCTGGAGCGCCAGCATGGTGGATGACTGAGGTGGAGTGTTTTCTCCCAGGATGCTCTGTGTTTGCGGCCGACGTACTGTCGGGCGTACAATCGGTGTAAGACTAGGTCCGGGGACGGGACTACCGCTCATGAAGTCCTTGTCGATTGATATAGCATCAAACTCTCTTTCCAGGTCCGACTTCTTTGGGCTGGGTGTGGGAGTTGACAGCCTTGCTTGTTCTCTGTGGAGCTTTTCTGCGAACTTTGTAGGCGAAGTAGACGGGCTATTTGAGTTGCTTTCGATCATTAAACTCAAGTCTCGTACAGTTCCAGGCTGCAGAGACTGCATCCGCCGATGGCTATGGTTGCCCTTGACCAGCGCTCGCTCGGGAGAGTGCTCTGGCAAGCGTTTTGTGACGGCCGGGACGAGAGCATTAGCCTCGCGGGCACGCTCGTTGAGCGCCGCATGTGCAGATTGGATGGCACTTGATGTTCCCACACGGGAGGTGGCGGGAGACTGCGGGTTCAGAGGAAGTGGCGGGGGCGCCCGATCAGGATCTGAGCTATCCCACCTGTCGTGTTTATCAGCATTGGTTAGCTTATACCAGATAGACATGGCATTAGATGCGACCGCGGGGTAGGCGGGCTACAATTCAGAGCGACTGGCCAGGAAATGGTTGGGGAAGAGAGGGGAGGATGATTATACGCACATTGGTACCAAGGCCCGCATGTTATGGTCAGAAGATGATGCTGAGTGCTGATGTCTCAGCTGCAGCTCCCTCTCGCGAGGGCTGTCTCGTTCGTAATGTGACATTGTGGGTGTTGAGGAATGTGATAATCGGCGTGAGCAGCGAAGAATGCGGGCAGCGCCGCGTCCACACTTTGAAGGTCGTCTCAGACGAACAACAAGCAGGGAATGGAGTGTTTATGTCGTTGCACTTTGTCTCTTCTCGAGCCAGGAAAGATATCGATCAGAGGATAAGAGCGAGCGCTAGAGAAATGGGCGGAATATAGAGTGGTGGAGTTGGCAGCCGAAGCTCCAGCGATATTGTGATGGAGGAAGACCCGATCCAGATATGTTTGTACCTGCCGCGGGTTGATAAGGAGGCTAAGCGGCAGCTTTGTTTGTATTTTGGTACCCGCTGGTCCAGTTGCCGGGCAACTCCATTGCCGCCCGCCAAAACCACCTATCACAGCATCACCCCATTTTTTTATTAATTACGTATCCCTACAACCCTACCAATTGGAACCACGTCGAACAGCTAGGTTAGTGCCTGAGCTGGGCTCCCAATGATAAATAAATAAATATGGTCTCTTGCGATAGGCTAGATTATTATACAGCAAACAAACAACCATTGGGTTACACCGAACGTCACCCATCGCATCATACAGATCAGGTTACTGCCCTAAGCGCATTACCCAGGCAGATAGATCACAGCACATACCACGCCGTAGCCAATCCATTGCCCCATCAATCCCAGCGCGCTTCCGTTTTTCATAAATCAATTAATAGGAGTATATTCGTTCAGTTCGGAGAAGAGTGTCTAGTCGTTTTTTATTTTATACAATTCCAGCAAGGCTTGTCTCAAATCAGATAATTTCCAAGACTCCTCTGCCATTAAGCACCCCGTAGTGAAAGCGCTATACAATGATCTACCCACATCTCCCATTGGTCTAGTAAAATCTAAATCTACCGGCGGAAGGAGTTGTCAAAAGCAGGGATGAGTGTCTGAGCCAGCCAGAAGGAGAACACAAGTTTAGGTCCAGTCATGAGCAGCTAGAGTTGGCGAAGATTAGCTTAAAGAATCAATCTGCTGTAAGCCAGGTGGGGGTAACAAACCTTGGGCACCAGTCCCTTGAAGAAACTTGAGAACCCCTCATTCTTGGCCATGTTGGCCAGGATACGGAAACCACTCTCTGGGTTCTCAAAGTTGCGGTTCTGGATACGAGTCTTGATAACATCAAGAGGGGCGGACACAACGAGGGAAGCAGATGCACCGGCAATCGAAGCAACAAAGTTCTGAAACCAGCTGGCCTTGTTGTAGTCCTGGAGGTGGAACAGATATTCCTTGGCAAAGGCAGAGCCTCCGAAGAGCTGGATCGCAACTTGTTTAGAAATTCTCATGGTCCAATCATATCAAAGAAGGGGGGAGGAGACTTACCGCAAAAGAGCCAGGGGCATTTCGAGCAGCAGTCCAACCCCAGCCACGGTAAAGGCCAAAACCCTCGTCAGCAACGATCTTGAAAAGACCACGACCCTTGAAAGCTTCGGGGTTGGTCTGGCGCTTGATCTTGAGGACATCCAGAGGCAGAAGAACGATTTCACCAATTCCGATCAAGCTATCACCAGGTTAGCTCACGAAGATGAACCTGATCATCACCCAGCCCCGGATCTTAAAGATGCTGTAATCCGTACCTGCCAGCAGTCGAATGCAGAATGGCCTTGCCGGTCTTTTTGCCAAAGGCAGACTCGAAATCTTTTCCATAGTGTAACGTAAGGTAATCACGGGCCACGGGCTGGCCACCATACTTGTAAATTCGCTGGAGAACCTTGTAGCCCGCGGCATATCCCAGACCAGGGAAGAGCGAGACAAACTTGGTCGTCAGAGGGGCAGCGGCCTGTTGTTTGAAGATGACCTGGTTCAATTGAGCTGCGCTAGCGACCTATACAACCGGTCAAATTCTGAAAATCGGCGCATCACGGGAACTCGGACAGCGATTCATACTTTGGTCTGGTTGCTCATCAATCGCTTCGCAATGGTGTCAACCTAA